CAGGCATCATCTCAGACGGCGTGAGACACGCAACCTTAATGTATCATTAAACGAAACTATCGATTGACTCGAACAATAGCGGATCTGGCTCAGGCAGGTGTCGACACAGCGAAGGTTCAGGCACAATAAAACACTAACTATTGTCACACGCACGACACACGGACACTCTATCACAAGGGAGTAAGGTTCAAAATGGAGACACGTTTTGGACGTTAGTTTTAGATGATACGATTTAGTGAATTTGATTAGTATAAATAGTAAGAGGAGTGTGTGTTTGTATCACTCAAGTGGAAGAGCTCGGGAAGACATCTGACGGAGGAACAGGGGACTGAGACTAGGTGAGATACAGCGAGACTATATACTGTATACATAAGATATATATAATGATGAATATATGTGTGTTATATAATGAACATGTGGCACGTTACAGATGAACAACACTGACTCCAACATCATGAAGGTGAGCTCTACATGTAGTTATTATAAACATATAACACTCAGGGCTTCATACTAATGATTAAAACTAAATTATTTTCAGGTTTTCGTATTCATTAGTCTTCTGTCTTTGACTCTGGCTGAGCCACCAGTCGGGTGAGTTGAATATTATTAATAAAATTTAATATGAACTAATATATGTACAATAACTAATGTTATATTCACAGAGACGGCTACCCTTCATCACGATCAGCTCACCACGACCATGGACACCAAGGATCACTGACTCAAGAGTATGGAGCTCCAGAGTTTGGAGCTAGGAGCGAACAGGAGTACGATGTAACAGATGCTAGACTTCAACCCTCACAGACATACGGGACACCGACGAGGTCATCGACCTCCCAGGAGTACGGACCACCGAACCTTCGGTCAACCCTCTCCCAGGAGTATGGACCACCGAACCTTCGCTCAACCCTCTCCCAGGAGTACGCTCCATCATCACTGTACACAGTCCCTCACTCCCTCAGCTCGTCTCCTCAGTTCACTCCACCGCCCAGTCGTTCCTCTCCCTCCCTCCAAGCCTCATATAATCAACACGTCGTCCAAGCCGCTCGTGTGTCTCAACCTTTCTCTCCACAAGTCACATCTTCTCTCCCAATCACCTCCAGCGCCGGTTCCTCCTCACACTCGTACTCCGTCCCTCAAGCATCACACGAGTACAACCAACTCGAACAACGCCCTCCGTCCACACAGTATGGAGTTCCATCTCAAAGAACCAACGAACAGTCTGTCGCTGACAAATATGGTGCTCCGGGTTTGAGGAGCGCTCAGTCGTTTGGTCAAACAAGAAAGCCCGCATCTTCATCTGTAACAAGAACCTTCCAATCATCTTTCGGTTCCAAGAGCTCTGCGTCACAACCCTCTGGAACTCCTCGGTCCTTGTCCTCTGTGTATGGAGCTCCCAGTTCAAGGAACTTTGATTCTTATTCCCAGAGTCCAAAGACCGTTTCTCACACTTACCTGCCCAGTTCACGTACTGTGTCTCAGTCATATGGTGTTCCTAGCGAGCGTGGACTAGCAACTGAATACGGTGCACCAGAAAATGATTATAACTTGAAGAACAGTGCTGCAGGAACACAGTATGATCTAGCGAGGTTTGTTTATATATAACAAAATAAAATAATGAAAACAGAATCATTCCTCATACCTGCCTATTTAGTAGAAGCTTGTGTTGTTTATATTTAACCTTCCTTCTTTAATCGTTCAGATCTCCGTCTTCTGTGTACGGAGCGCCTGAAGCCCGCATGTCCTCGGTTCAGGTCGGAACAACACATCAGTATAACTCTCAAGACTCTCAAGGATACAACTATGACAGAAACGCTCTCGACGAACTACAGAACCAAGTAAATATTGATTTAGCTTTACTTGACTTCTAGTTCAGTTAAGTTATATTAATTGAACCATAAACAACACAAACCCTGCCTGCCTTCTTTTATAGATCTTTAGTTATTTGTGTTAATATTACTGTTATTTCCCAGGAGCCAGCTAACTATGACTTCGGATACAAAGTGAACGATTTCGAGAGCGGCAGTGACTTCGGTCACTCGGAGACGAGACATGACAACAGGGCGGAGGGCTCGTACTACGTGCTGCTGCCTGATGGAAGTAGACAGGTGAGGAACAGGGCTGGGTGATGATACGAACAGGCAGAGGGACTTACTGACCTTATATAATGATGACACTATCACACGCAGAGTAATGTTTGAATATGTTCTGTAGGTGGTGGAGTACGAGGCTGACGAGCGAGGATTCAAGCCGAGGATCTCCGTGGAGCAAGTGGAGGCGAGGAGCGGAGGATACGACGACAACCAGGAACAGAACCCACGATCAGCTGACGGACCGTACTAGGAGATACACGGCCTTGAAGTGATCACACACATGACATATAGACTGTTGATATGGAGAGGAGACGTGCCATTGTGTTAATACTCGTTGTATTTATTGTAAGCAGAAATAAAATGTATAAAAAAATAAATCAATGTACATAGATATGTGCTGTGGAATATAGCTTTGTAAAAATATATGTTGACTCTCATTATAACATGCTCCTATCACACAATAGTTATGATATAATAGGAAAACTTTTCCAGTTAGAAAAATAATTGTCATAATTTAGAAGATATATTAAAGAGTTTGATTGTACAGTTCTCGTCGAAAGTTCAATGCTCAGTTGACTTTTTTATACTCAGTATTTCTATAAACAGTGTTGTAACTAGCCTTTTATGCACCCGGTGCGAGCTTTCAAAACTGCGCCACTGAAAAATGATCTAACAAGGCTCTGAAAATAAAATGGACATATGTGCATACAAATAAATCTATCTATTTATTGTTTAACAAAGTATAAAAGTATATAGCTACCATGCTTGAGATAAAACTAGATACTAGTCTGGTCATTTCTGCGCCCCTCCAGGGTCTGCGCCCTGTGCCTGGGCATTGCTGGCAACGCCCTAATTACGGCACTGTCTATAAATACTGTAACAATCAAAAGTATACAAAATTTTATTCATCAAATCGGTAACTTTAATAAGATTGTTCATTGTAATTTCTTGTTTTTAGAATATCATCAGAATTCAATATTAAAATATATTTTGGTATAAAAAGATTGAAATCCCCGCGTTTGTTTAAGCCACACTAAAGTCATTCAAATTAGTTAATGTTTTGGTAAAGAGCTTTCAAAAATACTATAACTAGACCAGTACTACAAGACGGATATTGATCTTCACTCGTTGTATTACATGGAGTTGGGCTTTTGTGAATTAAAAATTTATTAAAAATAATAGAATGATATAATGAAAACAAATAATTAAGGGAAACTCTAAACGTGGAACAAACAATTGTGTTTGTTGTTGATATTTTTCCAATTTAGACACATTTTACAAACATATGCCAGTTTTTATGCTGAAAGCTTCTAAAAAAGCGTTCCAATTAGTCAATAGTGAACGATAGATTGATGGAGTGTTCTTGTTGGCTATAAAGAGTTTATATGTAAAAGTTATTGAAACACCTTCACTAATTGATCAAGATGTCATTGTTGATATCTTTGTGAAGCGCCTTCCCCTTACCAACTCAATGTTTTATTATTCAATAGGTGCGGATCATAATCTTCGTTCCACCCTATGTTTTTATGCTGAAAGCTCTAAAACATCGTCGTTGCTTGTTGGCTATAAAGAGTTTATATGTCAAAGTTATTAAAACACCGTCACTAATCGATCAATATGTCATTGTTGAGATGTTTGTGAAGCGCCTCCCCCTTAACAACTAAATGTTATATTATTCAGTACGTCTGTACGGATCATAATGTTCCATCCTTGTTCCACCCTATGTTCATTATAATCATCTGTTCCACATCTCATCTGTCAGTCTCCTACTCTTGATCTGTATGAACGGGTAATAATGTGTGACCAGACTTAAAGAGTAAGGACTGTTCTTAACGTAAAGGTAATATGGAGTCTCTGAAACAATTTCCCTTAGGGAGATGGCATCAATGTGTAAAGATCATTTGTAATAAGTTTTATATATTTTTAACTGAAGAATGTTTTAAACATTACATTGTAATAGTTATAAATGTAACATATATAGTAAAAGAATTCGTTTTTTGTTGTATAATATCTATGCAAAGACTGAGTAAACTATTAGTTGTCATTAGTTATCCTTATACGAGCTGTCACGGATAGTTTGAGTTTATAAATTTGAACTTTTTAAAAAGACACACGGAGTTGATTATAAAAGCTAGTATTTTAATAATATTCATAGGGAATTTGAATTTACTGATTTCTTTATAAAGGTATTCATGATATAAATAGTTTTGTTAATAATAATAATAAATAAACACAAACAACTTTTGACTTATGAACAGCGCTATCGTTGAAGTCTCTTAGTCCGGTTGAGAGTTAATTAATATGTATATTTTCAACTGACTGTTTTCAACTCTCTTTTTACATCCAGAATTTCCTAATTTTTATTTAAAATTACGTTTATTTGAAGAACGAAGAAGTATATTTTTTTGATCAAAGTTAGTTTGTTTTAAGCAATTACAGGACAAAATAAAATAAAATGTTTTTAGTAATAAGTTGAGATGAAACCAACATAATATCTTCCCTGAGAAGTCTTCTGTAGTCAGGAATACAATCTAAAGCTCTGTGGAAGAATCCTCCCTTACACGTTTATTGAAATATAGTCAAGACCAATAGACTTAGCGTTATCTTTCTGGTTGACGAATATGTTTGAAGATGTTCTTCAATTAACGATTTGCTTATATGAGATATGGATACGTTTTGCCTAGTAATTAATTAAACATAAAAAATTGTTGCAGTCCATAAGAAAAGTCATGATTTACTTTTGTGTTTTTTCGTCAGACAAAATTCAAGCAATTCCAGTGACCTTACACACTTTAACTGTTAGTAACGCATCTGTTTCACGATCTGTCTATATTAGTAGTCTATAAACAGTGCCATACAATATGTTAACGTCAACACATCGTGCGGACAGAGCCGCGTGAGGAGCCTCTGCCACATCCGTCTCAGAGCGAGTCAGTCTTTGTGTTGTGTCGCGGTCTCCTTGAGCCGTGCCTCGTGTATTGTGCTGTTAATCGCTCGTATATGTCATCCTCGCCTCGTCTGTTCTATATAACCCGTGTTCATCTCCTCTCAGCATCAGTCCGAGCTGGCTCCTCACTCGTCAACATGCAGGTAACTTGTGTTGTTCATTCACTGTTCTGTTGTTTGTGTCGCTAAAGATCTGTTCTTTATTAATGTATGAAGAATGACGTCACTGTATATTATATACTAAATATATAACGTATTGTATGTAACTTTACTTCTGAAAATGTTATTATTTATCATAAATTTGTATAAACTTTAATAATTTTCCTAACTTCTCTATAGAAAGGTGTACGAGTGTCATTTACTCACGTATAAAACAAGTCAGTATTTGTCGTTTATCTATTTCTTAGTAATGTCTCAGTTATATATATTAACGTCGTTTGTCTGTTCATTTATATATATTCAATACATTAACATCTTCATCAATAACCGTGTCTTAATCACATATTATTTCCCAGTTCGTGTTGTTTCTCTTCGTCGCGGCGTGTGTGTCAGCGCAGTCTCCGATATCTAAGAGGTACTTTATAAAGCTCCGATCACATTGACAACGTTTAATACTTTATTAATAATGACAGTAGAACAATACTTTATACAATATACAACATCCTACTACTGGGGACAGGGTGGAGTAGATATGTACTCAAACGTTTAATGACATTCAAATCTCTTTTAATAGCCAATTGTAAAGTTTCTTCTAACATACGAGACAAGCTTTCTTATTGACAAATAAATGATTGACTTTAAATGTGTACTACAACCAGGAATCGTATTGAATAATACCTTTCAGTCTTTGTTTTTCATATAGTAATAATGTCATGTATGATATTAGAGACCACCAGTCATAATAGTGACTCCTATTCATATATATCTCATCATACTTCCCAGCTACCTCCCTCCCCCTCCTCCGAGTGACGTCATCAGCTTCTCTCGAGGAGCTTCATCTGTCCAGGAGTTGAGAAGAGTTCAGGAGCTAGGAGACAGGAGCTCGCCTGTGACACGCGGAGACGACGACTTACAGGAACCAGCGGTAATGATGAACATTATACACTATACGTTATTAATATAATGAGGTGTACTAGAGGAACTGCTACCAGCGACGAAGATGGAGAGGCGCTACTGATACTAATAATACGTCTACTGACGAACCTGACAGAACAGACTGTAGTTATATATAGTATAGAAACAGTTTACTCTAGCAGAAAGATGTTATAAGTGATAGTAATAAACGACTCGTTGTTCTTTCGTAGGATCCGGCCAAGTATAAGTTCGGTCACTCGGTGATCGATCTGGAGGGAGCTGACCTCGGAGCCGGAGACGAGAGGAGCCGGGGGCAGGAGCTAGTGATGATAGAAGAGGAGAGGGGGCGACAGGTGAGAAGGATGTTGTGTTGTATTGATGTGTAGACAGATGACGTCATGAGATATACATATATGAGATGTACAGGCCGTGGAGTACGGGGCTGAGGGGCGAGGAGGGAGGAGGGGGTATGAGTCACACGAGGAGCACCAGCGGGGGGGAGGGGGGCGCCCAGGATACTGAGCAGTGAACAGATACTATGATATAGAGAGACGGAATACGATCCATACGATACTACATACTCTTGTATTATATTTATATACATTGTAATAAAGAATATTAATTGTTGACGTACATACTTCGTTTTTCATTCTTGGTGCGTTGAAAAGTGATAAATGAATTCATTTTTAGTTGAAACTTTTAATAAGGTCATAGCAGTAAAAGTTTTTATTTTGATAAAAATGTTGTAATGTTTAAATAAAAATGTTAGGTACCAATTACCTGAGATATAAACAATAAAAACGTTTTTATTCTATATAATAAATGACTTCTTCTCATATTAACTTTATTATTACACCAGCGTGGTACCTTATATTTTGTTCCAGTTACTTCTTGTTCTAAATTCAATACTTAGTATGCGTAAGCAAAACAACTTGGTTGTTAACTAAAATAAAAGTCATTTTTACATTTAAATGAAACTAATATTTTCGGGTTTACAACGCGATTTTTATTTGTGACTAGTTTTTGCCCGCGACTGCGTCCGCGTTAGTTTGGTCAAGAGTAATATACAGGGTGACTGGTGAATTACTATCAATATTTAAGGAGAATACTCGGTACATGATTCTCATTCGAATTATGTAAAAAAAATAGGTACTTAATTTTTGACCAAATTTCCGTATAAATAAATAAAGTGTGGCCAAGTTCCACAGGCCGGCGCATGCCCTGCACTATTTACACGAACCGTTTCGACCCACTTTTGACCCCCCTGTAGCTCAGTGCCTATTGCAAGTACAGAGATAAAATTGTACCTACGTAATCATATACTAGTACTAAAGCAGTATGCCAAATTTCATAGATAAAGCTTCAGTAGATCCTGAAATATGACCCTGTGAAAATAGCTAATTTTGGCACTGACTCACTGACAGGTAATCAAAACCTCTAGGCCACTTCCCATTGTTTGAGCATTATGAAATTTGGTACACAGGTTGTGTGTTATATGTAGATTAACAAAAAAATAAGAAATTTAAGAAATTGTAAAGCGTGAGTTGCCTGAATTCTAAATATCGAATTTTTAATAAAAATATTTATGAACCAGTGTATACAATGAGAATACGAAGCGGTGGAAAGGGGGGGGGGGTATAAAATATGTAATAAAAAATTTAAGAAATCGGTCAAGCGTGAGTTGGCTTAATCGAATATCGAATTATTATTACACGCTGTATATTAGCATCACTTGTATGTTTGTTTGTTTGTATGTATGTAACTCTCCTTTTTTTTAACACGCTTCTTATGCACTGCTGTGATATGGGTATCAAATGAAAGAGTTTGAGGAGAAGAATATGAAGATAAAAATAATGCAAGAATATCGGGACGATAAAATATTGGGACGGCGAAATATCCAGACCAGACGAAAAAATATCCGGACGAGAAAAAGTTTTTCTAAAACTCAAGAGTATAGAATATATATATAAAATACATAGGCGCTCAGCTCAGCACAATAAAATACATAATAATGAAATATTAATAATATGAGTACATCTATCAATCGGTGATAAATGAAACTAAAAAATAAATATAGTTTAAAAAAAACTAAAAAACACGCTTCAATGATGAAAGAAACCGCGTGGAAACTAATTTAACCTTTACAACCTTGGAAATCAATTTAATTTAAATTGTTTAAAATAAACAATAAATGGTATTATTGAAAAAAAAGCGTGGGGCGCTTCTTAAGAACTGATATAATATATATATGTGGTTAATTTAATTATATATGTCGAAGAAGGAAGAGGGCGTCAGCATAACTGACGTCACCAGTGCGGTTTGTTCTTCCTGCGACGGCTCCAGCACGACTATACAGTAAACTCGCCTCTATTTATAATATTTATAATGACTAACAGCCATTGTTAAGACTTCACTTGCACAGGTTGTTACGTGAACGACCCCTGATAATTTATCTACCCTCAATTATTGATTTTTAAAATGGTAACTGCCAAGTTCAAATTTAGAAGTATTATAATTTTAGATATTTTTAACCAAGCACCTACGTATTTTCACAACTATACCATATTTTAAGTTGGGTGTATGGTAAAGTGAATTTCGGCCAGATGGACCGTTGACGTGAATAAGGTGGCGGGTAGTGGCTGGATGTGGAAGGCAGAGGACTGGGTGTGGTGGCGAGTCTTGGGAATGGCAAATGTTTTGGATTGGAACTTGGCCCCATTTTTAACAGGCATGTTTTTGGTGAGTATATATTTTATAAAGTAGATATCCCTTTGAGAATAACACAAACATTAATTGTAAATAAGAAAATAATCTTATACATAGGGCATCTCATTATTATTAATTCCGAATATAAAACATAGTATTAGGAAAGTGTCAATCTGTTGTCAACATTAAAAATGGCTATCATAATATTAATTGTATGATTTACATTTTTATAAACGAAATCAGTATATAAAGGGCGTCCTGTCTCACAGCAAACATTATGTGTCGTACAGCGGATACAAAAAGATGTCTTACTTATTAATGTTACTGACTGCTATCATGTAAGTAATATCTAAAGATGTTAATGAAAAAATGCAAGCAAAAAAAAATATTAAAAAATTTTTGTTAAATTTCTAAGAAATTTTTTTTTGATAAATTGCTAAGAAACAAATAAAAAAACATACTAAAGTTATAAAAACTTTTTTTATAAGCAATGCTTTTATGTTATGTGTGCTTTTTTGTTTATACGAAAACTTTTTTAATATACATTTTATCACTCCGAGAGATAATCCTCAGTGGACGGTTCTCAGAAGTAATTCATGCAATTTCAGTATCCTAAAAAATATTTCCTTACTTCTGGTAGAAGAGCAAATTTGCTTAATCATTTTGTTTCAAATTTACTTTTAAAATAGTTATCTTAATATCCAAACTTTATAATGATAATTATATATTTTATATTCAAAATATGATTGAATAGTTAAACTATTCAGAATTCGTTATCTTCACAATAGTATATTTTGAAATTCAGCAAGAAAACTCTTTGAAACAAGCAAAGAAATAGCTTTGATTTCACCAAAATAAAGCCAATTGTATATTACAATTTATATACAAAATCAAAGTCAGTGGTGGCCTAGTGGTTAAAGGGTCCGCCTCTCGTTGCCGAGGGCGCGGGTTCAAACCTGGCAAGTACCAATGTGATTTTTCGGAGTCATACGTACTTTCTGAGAGTATTTAGACATCACTGACATACGGTGAAGGAAAACATTGTGAGGAAACCTGGACTTATAGTTTCACAATTATAAGTTTGAAATCACCAACCCATCTTGAGCAAGCGTGGTGATTAATGCTCAAACCTTCTACATGTGAGAAAGAGGCCTCTCAGCAGTGGGCGCTGATAGGCTGATGACGATACAAAATCAACATTATATTATACGAAATATAATGCTAGACAAATTAATCTATACACAAATTTATTTTCAGCATAATCAACGGCTCTGTACATTCATACAGACAGTGGCCAACAATTGATCAGATAAATAGATTGAAAAGAACTTTGGTTTGTCAGAATATAGTTCAGGACAGTTCAGAAGATGATGTTCCCGTCTCCACGACCAATAATATCACGTCTGATAGCAACGGACCGACGTGTATATATGAAATGAATGATAAGGATTACAAAGATGTACTGGTATCAGGAAACTTCCAACACAAGCAACCGAAGAGATCAAGGAATCGCCAGCGGTATCCCGTGAGTAGATACATAATTATTATGATCAAAACTATTTGGAACATTTAAATTAAACTGTTCTAATCATAATCAAACTGAAAATGAAAATTTTCCGATTTTACTTCGCGTTTTTATTTTTGATCAGTTTATAATCAAAAATAAAAGTAGTTAGTTTAGTTTCATTTAAATGAGTACCCGCGAAAATCTTAGATCTCATTATTTGGAAGATTCTGACGGTTATACAAATTTAATATGTACAATAGTAATTAATGATTAATATATTTATATTTTCAGGAAACACAAAGCTTTCAGAAATATGATGAATCGTCTCCACTGATATTTATTCTTCGACCCGTTCTTGGTTGATCTTATACGAAGCAATTTTAAGGCTCTACTGATTTGAAAATATTTTATCTCTATATATTAGAATATGTAATGACTTAGCAAGGATTTGTATTATTATGTAATAAAAAATAATATTTAAATAATTATTGTATACAAATGTTTATTCAAATGAAATAAATGTTGCAATTCAGTACGCTTTATTATTCATTAATATATCGGGTAAATTTATTATAATAATTATTATGTTTCATTATATATTGTGTATTTGATCGCCGCTGGTAATTAATCAATGTTTCTTTGGGAATCTGGAAAAGACGCAAAGCATTTGATTAGTATCCAGAGTCGGAATGATTCAGGGCAAATTTTACTAGATTATTTTATACAAATAGTAACAATTAAAAGTAAATTACCTAAATTTTGGTGAGAATCGACGTCTCCTGACAGCATTGCTATCAACAACCTGCAGGTTACCCTGTTGACGAAAACAGATTTTTAAATAAATGGACAAAGAAAAATAAATTAATGACCTTACAAAAACTTGCTTAAGACGCAAAGAAGAATTTACAGTATAATTACGAACCGAAGAAAGTTTTTAAAATAAATTTTGTAATAATATGTTAGGGGTAGGTGAAAAAAGTAAAGTTTCAATCAGGACAATGTATTCTTTTCACAAAAGAAAACCATACATTAGAGCTGAATAATGGCAATAGTTGGTATTACTCTTTAAATTTTCAGTAAAAATCTATGATTTCCAATCAAACAAATCTCTATGATCTACTTGTGCTGTTGAGACATAAGAAGTAATGCTGTCAGGTAAACCGTTCATATTCTCGACGGTCGTAAATGTAAGAAAAACAAGGAATATTGAAGCTTTAATATTTACCAAAAGTTCGCCCTGGGGAGGACCGTATTCAGTGAAACCAGGTGGTCCATACTCAAGAAAACCTTCCGGTGCTTGCTCCAAAGACCTGGAAATTAAATTGTATTGGTTAATGATTTTTCAGTACTATTTCTCGAACGAATATATGTATATAACAATATTTCTTTACCCAGACACAGCTACATCAGAATTTCCTTCATTCAGCGATGAATTGACTTCCACCTTGAAAGTATAATTTTGTATTAAATAGAAATCATATAAATTTTTAAACAGAGAAATTAATATAACTACCTGTTGAGATACGACCCCATTTTCCAAATTGCCAATGATGTCTGGAATATTTAAAACAAATGGCTCTGATTCAAGAACGGTGTCTGTAACTTCTTGAGCAACTGATGCAGGTGCTTGAGTGGAAGGCTCAGGATGCTCAGTAACCTCAGAAAGCTCAGAAAGCTCAGTAGATTCAACATTTCCTTCAGATACAACACTCCCAAGTGACTCAACATCTACGCTCACTTGAGCATTTGCAGCGACGTTCTCAGATTCGGTAACTTCTTTTTCTTCGTCAGCCGACAATTCAATATTTGCAACTGTTGTTTGTTCCACCGATTCTTTGACGACATCTTGATCTACAGACACCGCTGAGGTGGCTAGAATCATTTGAATTATTTCGTGTACATTATTTTAAGTACTTACAATTCAACGTATCATATTCATTATATCGTTTGAAGAGTTATAAGCGTTTGAAAATTGAACATCCTATTAATTTGTATAGTATTATTCGACAAAAAAAATTTGTTAATAACATTGAAACGAGGACAGTTTTCGTACACAAATGACAATAACACACCAAGTAAATAGTTAGATTGGAAATATTTTCTCATCATCATTTGTTTTGGAATAAATAGCACAAGTGACTTTATTGCACCGTAGGTGCGATATGTGGGATTATAGTAAAAAAATACCTTCAGGAATACCAAGGTTGAGTTCAACGTAGAAATTCTGCTCGGTTACTGCGTCAGGTAGTCCTTGGTTGAGGATTTCAGGCAGTACTGGAGGCCCATACTCGCTGAGAGAATCAGAACCGGCTGCTTCAGAACCGTTCAGATCTTGGGAGGGAATGTTTGAAGGCTTCTGTTCGACGTTCTGTGACACTGATGGCACACCGTACTCCTGAAGATTTACAGATCCGGAGGCCTCAGATAGATCCAAAATCAAATCGGAAATTGGATTAGAAGGTACAGATTTCTGAAACAAAAACATTTTATGCCCTAGATGTCATAGTAATTCTTATTTGCTCTTCATTCTAATTTAATTCAATTTATTCTCGTTTCTTTTTAAAGGAGCTCTCAATTTTTTTTTATATATAAAAACTTTGGTTGATACTAAGGCCACATTTTTGTTCGTTGTAAAATTTATGATAAAGTTTCAAATATACCACAACTTCAGTGGGTAGATAGAAGGCAGGACCATCTGGTTTCCAACCACTAGGAAGGTAAGGACCTGATCCTCTGGCTGACACTGAGGCAACCACGAAAAGAAAAGCAAAGACCTGGAAATATAACACACATTAACACTTTACAGTACAAATAAAACATAAATTATTAAATTCTCATACTATAATATTCGTTTAATTTAGTTTTTGATCTACTATAGATGAAAATCATTGAAATTATAGAAGAAATATCACAAATAACACATGAAAAACTAAAGAAATATATATATATAAATTATTATTACCTTCATGTTGTTAAGATGTGGAGATCTTCGAGATGCCTGGTGTGAATGATGCTGGATCGAGATCAAGACCCAATTTATATTAAAATGGATTTATCAAAACAAATTCAAACATCCCAAGGTCCACTAATATTGGAATGAACGATTTACAAGCGACACTCGAGCTTTGTTTGAACATCAGCCAGTCGTGATGCTGGAGACAATCAATTAGAAAATAATTACACGTAGCTCTCAATCTACTCGTATTTAGACGATAAATTTAAATTTATTAGTACCAAAAAAATATAAGTATATCTTTTGTCTAAGAAGTATCTATCTGTGAAATAGATAACTATTGTATCCACGTTGTTAAAACATGACAATTTTAATCATATTTATAAGATTTATTTCATAAAATATTCCCTTAAATTAATATACATACTATGTTGAAATAATATATATTAGATAAAAATTTAAGGATTGTAATTATATATATAGTCATACAATAAGAAGTTTTAAAGTTAATAATTTAAATAGTCCAGTACAAAATATGATCAAAATATTTATATATATATAAGATAATGAAGACTGTAATTTCTGAGTTCTTCAATTAAATTGTTATCATATATAAATATTATCTAAACATAATTTTAAATGAATTCTCGCAGAAGTCTTAGATCTAATTTACAAAATATGAATACGTGTATAAGTCTTAGATCTCAATATCAAAACGTTTGTTCGCTTCCTTTTTATAACAAAGTTATTTGTATATTTAAATATTTTTAAAACTTTTCTTAATATGTTCTTTTAAATTTTGAACAAAAATTATAATTATAAATAGTTTTTTTACAATGATATTATGATTGTTTATCGATAGGTATGTAGTTTTTTCAATAAAATTATCTCTTATTTATACTTTTAAAGCATAATGTTTTAATATGTTCCAATAATAATCTACGAAGTATATAAGTATATAACAAAATAAATTTGTCTTTATTTTTATGAAGTCAGAATTTCACTATTTTATTAAATACTATCTTTTTTTCATGAGAAGTATGATTTTGATGCCGATGTCACAGTAACAAAATTATTATTTTAACTATTTTTTAATTTAAATTAAACTTAGTTTTTCGGATACAAATATTATTTTACTATTTCATCTCGTCTGTCAGTGATCACAGTTGCTGAAAAGTAATCTCATCGCGAGGAACATGTAGAAAAAAAGATACAACATTCAAAAAACTTAATTCCATTTAAATATACTCATGAGATATGTAACCTTAGATATAATTAATTTTTTTATTTACTTGCAATATTTTATTTATTTTTATTCACTTGTTAATCGTACATTATTTATTTATTTTATTAATAACGTGTTATAAAACAGTAGATTAATATAAAAATATCTGAAAGAAGACAAAATAAATAGATATTAAATTTAATAATGTATTTCTATCAAATTAAAACAAGCTCTTAATTTGCTCCACAAGTCATGGTGTATCACGTAGTGTTAAGTCATCTTAGATCAATATTGACCTGTTGACCTAAAACACGAATTATTGATCATCTAATATAAACTTACACCACATTCAATTAAAATATACGATGTAGGATTAGGATTACGCGGATACTGGTGCCTTTAAGATTTTAATAAGTAATAATTAAATCCCCAACCCGTCTTGAGCAAGCGTGGTGATTAATGCTCAAACCTTCTCCATGTGAGAAAGAGGTCTTTGTTCAGCAGTGGGCACTAATAGACTAAAAAAATATATGTAATTATAATTAATATTAATATTTAACTGTTGTGTAATTAAAAAGGCACTTTATATAATGATATGTATGTATGAGTATGTCATGTCATGTCATCAGCCTATCAGAAGTATGAGTATATTTGAATATAATTAAATTTTAAGTATATAAGATTTTTATATATAGAAGAGAAAATTAAAATCTTGGTAAAAAACAATAGAAGGAAGATATCAAACTTTTGTAAAAAAAGATCTTTATGGTCACGTCCTATGACAATGAGATTTATTTCTTAAAATAAAAAAAAGATGAGTCTTTACAAATTTGTAAATAATAAAATTTACAATTATAATACTATCCTAAACGTAATAATTATGGAAATAAGCTCCATTATACAACTATTTTATTATATACATATGTATATGTATATAAAATCATATGTATACATAATATACAGATTTTCCTATACAATATTTATGTCAAATTCGTACGGAACACATCTTTTCCACACATTCACGCTTGACTTTTTCTATATCATGTACTGCTTATTCTCTTAATGCTTAGAAAGATTTAATAGCAGCTATACCATGAACGGGTTAAATTTAAACTCGTGTTTAACTACGATTAATAAAACATTTTTAATACAGTGCAACCTCGTTATAACAAATCGGAGTGGAACAAGAAAATATTCATTTTATGAAGTAATTAGTTGCTCTAAAATTTGTTATAAAGAAATAAAATTATATATTTTTTTAACTTAAATCTTTAACAATAGTGACGAGCAGAAAATAGAAGAAATAGATTAGCGTGTTATTGACATATTATGTTATATGACAAGAAGAATGTTAAATATGAAAGTGGAGGAAAGGATTTATAATCAGTGGTGGCCTAGTGGTTAAAAGGCCTGCCTCTTATGCACGAGGGCGCGGGTTCGATCCTGGCCCGGGCAAGTACCAATGTGATTTTTCCGAGTCATATGTACTTTCTAACAGTATTTAGACATCACTGATTAATGCATTCCCAAAAGAGGGTCAGGCAGGCGGCCGGTCGTAAAAACAATTAGCCAAAACTATCCACAACATGTAAAGGCAGACCCTGGCTAAAGCTAGGAAATTGCCCGGTAGAAGAAGATGTAGGTCGAGGTAGACCTAGGAAATGATGGATGGATTGTGTGAAGGATGACATGACTAAGAAAGGTTGACTTATGAGATGACGACTGATAGGCGAGACTGTAGAAGAATATGTTGTTCCGACCGTACATAAAGTGGGACCAGGGCAGGAAGAAGAAGAATTGACGAGCAGAAGGTTTACAGTACTTTCCATCAAACAATAATGATTGTTTTATGAATAAAAGATTGTCAAAACATCGTGACATGAATCACATACTATAAGATTAAGTTAGACAGGGTGACTGGTGAATTACTATCGATACTTGAGGACGTGATATTTGACGATCATATATGACAAAATAAAAAATTAATATAACATAAATATTAATAAACTTCTAAGTAAAGTTAACCAAAAGTTATGTAATTAATTACGCATCGTGTGAACATCCTACAAAATTAGGTATACACACACACCACGTCCACACTTGGAACACTTGGAACGTGTCAACACTTTATTTATTTATACGGAAATTTTGTCAAAAATTAAGTGCCTATTTTTTTACATAATTCGAATGAGAATCATGTACCGAGTATTCTCCTTAAATATTGATAGTAATTCACCACTCACCCTGTATATTGGTGGAAATTTTATATAAAGGTTTTGGATAGACAAAATTCCTTAATTAAAGGTATGTATATTTTTCTTGATAATTGAAAATTAGTTATAAAGAGGTTATTCGCATAGTAAAAGTATATTTTATTTATATAAACTCTTATGGAAAATGAGATCTGAGATTTTCACGAGTATTCATTTAAACGTCGGGAGTACGTAGTTTATAATCTTATACGAGTATATAAAATTCTCGTGTCGCGGTGTTAGACAGAGAACTCCTCCGAAAAGGCTGGACCGATTTTGATGACATTTTGTGAGCATATTGAGTTGCTCTGAGAATGAGCCAACATCTATTTTTCTTCCCGCTAAGTTATAAGGGTTGTTCACCCTTAATTTTTTTTTTGGACGAAATTATTTGTTTTTATTTTTTTTATAAGCTAGAATTAAAAAATACGTACAACCCAAAATTTTTACTTTTTTATCACCAACCCCTATTTTTTTATATGGCAAAACTACGTTTGTCGGGTCAGCTAGTTAAAAATAAAAATTGCGTACATATAAAAAATACATATATCCGAAAAATATTAGTTACATTCTTATGGAGAATTCAAAGGGCTTAATATGAAATTTTTAAATCAGGGAAGTCTTTATATAGAGGTACCTTATATAATATATAAAGGGTGCAATGTAACAGTGTCAACTATTTATCATGTAAATTAATACATAATGTATGTCCTTGCAGCCTGGAAGTTGCAGGTACAATGGAATTAGTTAAAAAAGACCAATACTCGGGTTGGATTCCGGTAAAAACAGTTTGTTTTATATCATTTCCTTTATATTTTCAATTCTGATAACTAAAGAAAACTTATATGTGAATAATAATTCAGATGTATCATTCACAGATACTTGAAGCTTGATGGATGAAGAGTTTTCATTTATTTGTTCAACCACGTGAGTATTAATAATCTTATATAAATATATTAGTTGACTCTCATGCTTCGTATTTAGAAAAATATAAAATAGGCTGTTGGATAAATAATGTTAAATTTTACTTTAGGCTTAGTTAATAACTAAACAGTTTTATTTTACTTAAACAAACAAAGTAAGTATTGAATTTATAACAAGAAGAAATCACACTGGAAATAACTAGTAAGAAAAGCAGGCAGTGTTATAATGAGGGGATTTAGAGAAGAAACCATTTATTACATATATAAAACATTTATTAGTATAAAACGTCTTTATTATTTAAACAATGTCACATATTTGAAAAAGTTTTTATTTAAAAATTACAATAATATTTTATAACAATAAAATTGTTAGGTTAATGAAGCTATTATTAAACGTTACAAATAAAACTGAATTCATTTATCACTTTTCAAACGCACCAAGAATAAAAAAAGTACGTCAACAATTAATATTCTTTATTAATATGTATAAATATAATACAAGAGTATGTAGTATGTATAATGGATCGTATTCCATCTCTCTATATCATAGTATCTGTTCACTGTTCAGTATCCTGGGCGCCCCCCTCCCCCCCGCGGGTGCTCCTCGTGTGACTCATACCCCCTCCTCCCTCCTCGCCCCTCAGCCCCATACTCCACGGCCTGTACATCACATATGTCACATGACGTCATCTCTCCACACATCAATACAACACATCAACCTTCTCACCTGTCGCCCCCTCTCCTCTTCCATCATCACTAGCTCCTGCCCCCGGCTCCTGTCGTCTCTGGGCCCGAAGTCAGCTCGCTCCACATCGTTCACCGAGTGACCGAACTTATACTTGGCCGGATCCTACGAAAGAACATCGAGTCTTTTATTACTATCACTTTTACATCTTTCTGTTAGAGTAAACTGTTCCTATACTATATATAACTGCCATCTGTTCTGTCAGGTTCATCAGTAGACGTATCATAAGTATCAGTAGCGCCTCTTCTTCTTCGTCGCTGGTAGCAGTTCCTCTAGTACTCCTCATTATATTAATAACGTATAGTGTATAATGTTCATCATTACCGCTGGTTCCTGTAAGTCGTCGTCTCCGCGTGTCACAGTCGAGCTCCTGTCTCCTAGCTCCTGAACTCTTCTCAACTCCTGGACAGATGAAGCTCCTCGAGAGAAGCTGATGACGTCACTCGGAGGAGGAGGAGGGAGGTAGCTGGGAAGTATGATAAGATATACGTGAATAGGAGTCACTATTATGACTGGCGGTCTCTTACATCATACGTGACATTATTACTAACTATATGAAAAACAAAGACTGAAAGGCAAGATTCAATACGATTCCTGGTTGTAGTACACATTTAAACTCACTAATTCATTTGTCTACACGAGAGCTTGTCTCGTATGTTAGAAGAAACTTTACAATAGGCCTTCAAAATAGATTTTAATGTCATTAAACCTTTGAGATTCTATCTACTCCACCCTGTCCTCAGTAGTAGGATGTTGTATAGTATATAAGTATTGTTCTACTCTCATTAATAATAAAGTATTAAACGTTGTCAATGTGATCGGAGCTTTATAAAGTACCTCTTAGATATCGGAGACTGCGCTGACACACACGCCGCGACGAAGAGAAACAACACGAACTGGGAAATAATATGTGATTAAGACACGGTTATTGATGAAGATGTTAATGTATTGAATATATATATATGAACAGACAGGCGATGTTACTATATATAACTGAGACATTACTAAGAAATAGGTAAACGACAAATAGTGACTTCTTTTGTGTGAGTTAATGACACTCGTGCACTTTTATATTGAGAAATGAGTAAAATAATTAATGTTATTACAATTTTGTGATACATGTCAGAATGCTTGTAGAATAAAAATCATTTCAGAAGTAAAGTTACATACAATACATTATATATTTGGTACATAATATACAGTGACTTTATTCTCCATATATTAATAAAGATCAGATCTCAAAGGACTCAAACAACAGAACAGTGAATGAACAACTCAAGTTACCTGCATGGTGACGAGTGAGGAGCCAGCTGGGACTGATGCGGAGAGGAGGTGGACACGGCTTATATACAGACGAGGCGAGGATGACATATACGAGCGATTAACAGCACAATACACGAGGCACGGCTCAAGGAGACCGAGACACAACACAAAGACTGACTCGCTCTGAGGAGGATGTGGCAGAGGCTGTTCACGCGGCTCTGTCCGCACGATGTGTTGACGTTAACATATTGTATGGAGCTGTTTATAGACTACTAATATAGGCAGGTCGTGAAACAGATGCGTTACTAATAGTTAAAGTGTGTAAGGTCACTCGAATTGCTTGAATTTTGTTTACTCATAAGGAACTACAGAAAAACATGCTTAACTTTTTTTTACTAGCAAGATGGAAACTGTCAAGTATAATCCATTTCTATGTGAAACTTATCCATAAGTCATATACGAGTAAGCAAGTCGGTCATTGAAGAATATCTTCAAACTGACAATGAGAAAGATAGTGTTCTTTCTAGACTGTATTTCAGTAAACGTCTGAGATAATATGAGAAGTTTACAGAACTACAGACTGGATTCAATACAAGCAAAGACTTCCAAAGGAAGATAATATTAATATGTTGGTGTCATCACGACTATTCCCTAAAATTATTTTTATTTATTGCTTAAATATATCAAATTTGTAAACAACATTCATTTAAAATAGACTTCTTCGTTGTTCAAATAAAATTAATTTAAAATAAAATTTAATAAATTCTGGATGTAAAAAGAGAGTTGAAAACAGTCAGTTGAAAATAATACATCATAAGTAACTCTCAAACGGACTAAGAGACTTCAACGATAGCGATGTTCATAAGATAAACGTTTTCTGTGTTCATTTATTATTATTAACAAAACAATTTATATTATGAATGCCTTTATAAAGAAATACATAAATTCAAATTCCCTATGAATATTATTAAAATACTAGCTTTTATAACTGACTCTGTGTGTCTTTTAAAAGTTCAAATTTATAAACTCCGACTCTCCGTGACAGCTCGTATAAGAATAAGGAAAACTTTGACAACTAATACTTTACTATGTCTTTGCATAGATATTATACAACAAAAAACAAATTCTTTTACTATATACGTTACATTTATAACTATTACAATGTAAAGTTTAAAACACGTTGAAGCTCCTCTCCCTGCAACGCGATGGACCCGGCACCCGCACGGTGAATCCATGGAATGCTGAATAGTTTCGTCTCTAGTTTAAAATATATAAAATTCATTACAAATGAACTTTACACATTGATGCCAGTCTCTTCATGGGAAATTCTTTTTTGAAATTCTTTTAGGGACTCCATATTATCCTTACGTTTAGATTAATCCTCACCCTCTAACACTGGTAACACATCATCACCCGTACATCAAAGCCAGGAGTAGAAGACGGACAGACAACAAATGAAATGAGATGTGGAACAGATGATTATAATGGACATAGGGTGGAACAAGGATTATAATCCGCTTCACAAAGATATCAACAATAGCATCTTGATCAATTAGTGACGGTGTTTTAATAGCTTTTACATATAAACTCTTTCTACCTAACAAGCAACACTCCATCAATCTATCGTCCACTATTGACTAATTTCGTCGCTTCTTTTGAGCTTTCAGCATAAAACTGTCAGTATGTTATAAAACACAGCAAAGTGTTTTAATAGTTTTAACAGCTTAATGTCAATTTTCTGTAAATTACCAAAAAGAGGGACTATCTGGAGAACTTCCAGAGTACACAACTATTAACAACAGATTACTATTAACTAAAAATAAATTAGAAAGAGCATTTTCAAATCGATGTCGAGTGTCATTTCATTAAAAGAGACATGATTATTTTATACAAAAATGGTACTGTTAGTAAGAAACTTATATTTATTTCTTCACTATAGGAAAATAGAGATTTCAACGAACAGAAAACACACCAAATTTTTGAAAAACGCTGATATTTTGACGGGTGATTTTTCGATTTAAAATGAGGCTGATTTTTCGGTATTTATTCAAAATAAGCTGAAAAAATAAATATATTTAATCAAATAAATTATAGTGCATTTTTAACATCAAAAGGAAAGTTTTCACCAAATTTCGTGGCAAAAAATTGTTTTTTATACGAGATAAAAATAAAAAACTAAAAACATGGTTATTCGTATTTATCACATAATTTTTTAGGTTATGTGAAAAAAGTGTAAATACAAAAGTTTTAGATATTTTTATTACCTACAATTTTGCCATATAACATTTTTCATTAGGACTCTTAGTTTTTCCAGAAATCGAGAGAACCCATTTTTTACCCTTAAATACCCACGCCCGTACCCTTCCCGACCTCAGATCGCCCGTAAATTAATTTTCCCTTAATTTTTAAAATATTCCCCTGCTTTTCTAATGGGTTTAATTCTACTATAATTTATTTTAACTTTTCATAATTTTTAGAGGCATCTGCACTGGTCTAAATCTTTTTTAAACAATTTTCAGTTCACAAACCACCAACTTCATGTTATACAACGAGTGTAGATCAAAATTTGTCTTGTTCTTTCGGTAATGGTCTTGTTATTGTATATTTGAAAGTTCTTTACCAAAACATTAACTAATTTCAATGGATTTTAATATGACTTAGTTAACTCTTGCATTTAGATAACGCTAAATACAATCACGACGATTCGAGTATCTTTATCGCAAACTATATTTTAATATTGAAGCCTGAAGATACATATTCTAAAAATAAGAAAATATACTGAACAATCGCGTTAAAGACAGCGATTTAAAATTTTAAAGTAATATTTTGTTTACTTTTGTTTGTAACAGTATTTATGGAGAGACTGACTATAAATAAAGTAACTGAGCATTGAACTCTCCACGAGAACTGTACAATCATACTATTTAATATATCTTCTAAATTATGATAATTATTTTTCTAACTGGAAAGTGGAAAAGTTTTCCTATTATATCATAACGATTGTGTGATAGGAGCATGTTATAATGAGAGTCAACAAATTATTTTTACAAAACTATATTCCACAGCACATATCTATGTACATTGATTTATTTTTTTATACATTTTTATTTCTGCTTATAATAAATATAACGAGTATTAACACAATGGCACATTTTCCCTCCATATCAACAGTCGTCATGTCTCGTGTGTGTGTGAGCACTTCAAGGCCGTGTATCTCCTAGTACGGTCCGTCAGCTGACCGTGGGTCGTGTTCCTGGTTGTCGTCGTATCCTCCGCTCCTCACCTCCACTTGCTCCACGGAGATCCTCGGCTTGAATCCTCGCTCGTCAGCCTCGTACTCCACGACCTACAGCACATATTCAAACATTACTCTGCGTGTGATAGTGTCATCATTATATAAGGTCAGTAAGTCCCTCTGCCTGTTCGTATCATCACCCCGAGGCCTGTTCCTCACCTGTCTACTTCCATCAGGCAGCAGCACGTAGTACGAGCCCTCCGCCCTGTTGTCTTGTCTCGTCTCCGAGTGACCGAAGTCACTGCCGCTCTCGAAGTCGTTCACTTTGTATCCGAAGTCATAGTTAGCTGGCTCCTTGAAAGTTACCATATTAGTATCACAAATAACTAAAGATCTATAAAAGAAGGCAGGGTTTATGTTGTTTTTGGTTCAATTAATATAACTTAACTGAACTGGAAGTAAAGTAAAGTTAAATCATTATTTACTTGGTTCAGTTCTTCGTCTAGAGTGTTTCTGTCATAGTTGTATCCTTGAGAGTCTTGAGAGTTATACTGATGTGTTGTTCCGAACTGATCCGAGGACATGCGGGCTTCAGGCGCTCCGTACACAGAAGACGGAGATCTGAACGATTAAAGAAGGAAGGTTAAATATAAACAACACAAGCTTCTACCAAAGAGGCAGGTATTAGAAATGATTCTGATTTAAAGAAAGTAGTCTATAAACAAACCTCGCTAGATCATACTGTGTTCCTGCAGCACTATTCTTCAAGTTATAATCATTTTCTGGTGCACCGTATTCAGTTGATAGTGCACGCTCGCTAGGAACACCATATGACTGAGACACAGTACGGGAACTGGGCAGGTAAGTCTGAGAAACGGTCTTTGGACTCTGGGAAAAAGAATCAAAGTTCCTTGAACTGGGAGCTCCATACACAGAGGACAAGGACCGAGGAGTTCCAGAGGGTTGTGAGGCAGAGTTCTTGGAACCGAAAGATGATTGGAAGGATCTTGTTACAGATGAAGACGCTGGCTTTCTTGTTTGACCAAACGACTGAGCACTCCTCAAACCGGGAGCACCATATTTGTCAGCGGGAGACTGTTCGTTGCTTCTTTGAGATGGAACTCCATACTGTGTGGACGGAGCGCGTTGTTCGAGTTGGTTGTACTCGTACGAGTGTGAGGAGGAACCGGCGCTGGAGGTGATTGGGAGAGAAGATGTGACTTGTGGAGAGAAGGGCTGAGACACACGAGCGGCTTGGACGACGTGTTGATTATATGAGGCTTGGAGGGAGGGAGGGGAACGACTGGGCGGTGGAGCGAACTGAGGAGACGAGCTGAGGGAGTGAGGGACTGTGTACAGTGATGATGGAGCGGACCTGAAGCTGGGAGGAGCGTACTCCTGGGAGAGGGTTGACCGAAGGTTCGGTGGTCCATACTCCTGGGAGGTCGATGACCTCGTGGGTGTCCCGTATGTTTGTGAGGGTTGAGGTCTAGCATCTGTTACGTCGTACTCCTGTTCGCTCCGAGCTCCAAACTCTGGAGCTCCGTACTCTTGAGTCAGTGATCCTTGGTGTCCATGGTCGTGGTGAGCTGATCGTGATGAAGGGTAGCCGTCTCTGTGAATATAATATTAGTTATTGTACTTATATTAGTTCACATTAAATTATATTAATAATATTCAACTCACCCGACTGGTGGCTCAGCCAGAGTCAAAGACAGAAGACTAATGAATACGAAAACCTGAAAACAATTTAGTTTTTAATCACATGTATGAAGCCCTGAGTGTTATATGTTTATAATAACTACATGTAGAGCTCACCTTCATGATGTTGGAGTCAGTGTTGTTCATCTGTAACGTGCCACATGTTTATTATATAACACACATATATTCATCATTATATATCTTATGTATACAGTATATAGTCTCGATGTTTCTCACCTAGTCTCAGTCACCTGTTCCTCCGTCAGATGTGTTCCCGAGCTCTTCCACTTGAGTGATACAAACACACACTCCTCTTACTATTTATACTAATCAAATTCACTAAATCGTATCATCTAAAACTAACGTCCAAAACGTGTCTCCAATTTGAACCTTACTCCCTTGTGATAGAGTCTCCGTGTGTCGTGCGTGTGACAATAGTTGAAGTGTTTTATTGTGCTGAACCTTCGCGGTGTCGACACCTGCCTGAGCCAGATCCGCTATTGTTCGAGTCAATCGATAGTTTCGTTTAATGATACATTAAGGTTGCGTGTCTCACGCCGAATGAGATGATGCCTGCACCGTTTATGGCACTCGAATTTATCATAGTCTTTGAATATTACATGAAAATCAAATGTATATCACATGAAGTATAGAATATCTTTATTATATTTCAAGACTTAAAATCTATAATATTTCTCGGCCTGGGCAGGGCCTACTCACTAAAACCACTGCGAAAGTCATCGGCAACTATATCGGTGTACCCCGGATAAATATATTTCGACAAATACGTAAATTTTTCTTCCAATTAGATCGAAATACTCGTAGTATAAACAAGGTCTAACCTAATTTATTTATTTATCTCCTACATTACAATGAGAACTTTTAAATTCTTCATAACTACAAAGGCTTTCATATCCACGTGTTTTATTTATGTATTACAGTATGGGTTTTGAACGTTACTCAATATAAGAACATATTAGTTTCATTTAAATGAGTACTCGCGAAAATCTTAGACCTCATTATAAGAACATATTTGTTAATAATAAATAAAAGAAAGAAAATAATCCATTAAAAATATCATCATACTTATTATAACTTCAAAAATATATGACATTTTCATATAAAAGTTTAGTAGTTAAAGTTTTGTATCTAAATTCTATTACTTAAACCTGGAGTATTTAATCAGGTTATCATACGTAAAAAATACTTTACCTTATTTCGGAAAAAAGCTGACACTCGTATTGTGTTGTCAGCTTCCTGTATACAAAATTTTATCATAATCGGTTCAGCCGTTTGAGCGTGAAGAAGTAACAAACATACACACTCACAAACTTTCGCAATTATAATATTAGTAGGATATATTGATGGCACTGGGCACTTATTTATATACATGCTTTTATATTATGTAACAAAAATACTGATAGAAATAAACTATAACAACAAATAGTTTATTACAATAGCACATTTCTTTCAGTGACGTATTTAAATTTATAAAAGTTAGTAGAACTCTATTGAGATATTTTTTTATTATTTATATTATAAATATGATTGCCTGTTTTGTATTCACGTAATTACTCTGAACTAGCAATAATCTTATCACCCAAATATTTATATTATAGGGAATACAAAGAACACTTGATTATACATTGCAATCGAGCTATGTAAATGCAATCAAACCACAATATATATCTATAATCTTAACCAGTACAAACACATGAAAGAATATTCGAGTACTTTTATCTCCTATTTCAAGACACTAGGTGCTATTTGGAGCGAATGTATATTATTTAAAGCTCAGTTGATCTCTTGAACACATTTTTTCATTCAATTAAATGAAGTATGCAGACATAAAAATGAAAATCTCATTACGTTTCATTTTTCATTACGCATTTCCCAAAGTTTGCATCGTTTATAAAGACGCAGTAAAAGTTTTTCAGTATAAAAATTCACGTACGTATAAACGTAGGTTAGAAACACGGAAAACGTCGCGTATGTAGTGTGAAACATGTGTTAAATATACAATTTAAATCCTATATAAATATATATATATATATATATATATATATATATATATTATAATAGTTAAAATGTGATAACAATGATGGTCATTAAAGAGTATAATGAAACGCCGTTAAAGTTAACATGAAGATCTATTGAATGTCATTGTCATTTAGCCTTGATGAAACACACAAATGAACTACATAAACCTATTTATAAATTAGATGGTTAAAAAAAAAACAAAGAAATATATAAAGATAACTTCATCAAGCTTAATCTTCTTTCTGGCAATTTCCCAGCTTTAGCCAGGGTCTGCCTTACATGTTGTGAATAGTTTTGCCTAATTGTTTTTACGACCGGCCACCTGCCTGACATCAACCCTCTTTGGGAATGCATTAATCAGTGATGTCTAAATACTCTTAAAGTACATATGACTTGGAAAAATCACATTGGTACATTGCCAGGATCGAACCCGCGCCCTCGTGCATGAGAGGCGGGCCTTTAAACCACTAGGCCATCACTGATATTAAGTTTTATCAAGCTTAATTTTGTGTCAAAAATAATAAAAGAAGCTTTATAAATATAAGCTTTTGCCCGCGACTCCGTCCGCGTGAACCCCTGTAGTTTTGATACCAGGATCGGTATAAAATTTAAAATTACGGCCACTGAACCCGGACTGCATTTCATGTTTCCATGTAGGTATGTTCCATGAATTCTTGTAGTCTTGTTGTTGGGATCGGAATTTTGGGATTCAGGATAAATATCAGCATATGTCTTTCTCAAAGATTCCATATACGATATATTGTACCAAAATTCATCAAAATTGATTCAAATTTTTAGACGTTAAAACGTCACAGACAGACAGTTACTTTCGTATTTTTATTATAGGGATTCTATTTATTCTAAGATCTTGTTCACAATTAAATACTAAAGTATAATATTCGGTCTATTATGTGGAAAAACTCTATAATTAATTATTATTAGATAACAATTCTAAGCGTCTTATACTCATAACTTCTAAACGAAATATCAATTTGGGATGAAACAAATAGTATTCTACTTTAAAATAAATGACGTTGATAAAATAATGGTTAATTTGGATAAGGATTAATATTACGATACACATTTAACGTAGTTTCTTTCTTAAAAATGATTTAATAACTTTTTTAGCACAAAAGCAAACATTATGACTAAATTGTGATGTTCAGATACGTACTCTAGTGGATATTTTCTAGATCTTAATTGGAGCTTTAAGCCCGTAATACATTACTTTGATGTATTGTCCATAGATTTCACCCCGCACGCATATACAGGTTTTCGATTTTACACGTTGGATTACAAAGTAGTCATTATCTTACGGATCCCTAATTTTTTTAATATAGTCTATAGCCTACTACTATTAAGTCAGTGGTGGCTCAGTGGTTAAAGGGCCCGCCTCTCGTCGCCGAGGGCGCGGGTTCGATCCTGGCCCAGGCAAGTACCAATGTGATTTTTCAGAGTCATATGTACTTTCTAAGAGTATTTAGACATCACTGATTAATGTTGATTCCCAAAAGAGGGTTGATGTCAGGCAGGCGGCCGGTCGTAAAAACAAATACCCAAAAACTTTTCACAACATGTAAGGCAGACCCTGGCTATAGCTGGGAAATTGCCAGGTTGAAGCAGATAGTTTATATAGCCTACATATTTATAAGATCTTCACTTAATGAGAACATTTTCTCGTTCTATCCTTTATAGTTTAGGCAGAATAAGCAACTTTTCTGATTGAGTTTTTACACCTTATGTCCGAAAAAGCCAAATATCTTAGGGAACCCTATTTTTTTATTAAAATAGCCTATGTTACTGATGGATAATATAGCTTTCGAACGGTGAAAGAATTTTAAAATCAGTCCACTATTTGAGCCTATTCATTACAACAAAGTTTTCCTCTTTGTAATATTACACTAGATATGTATAAAAAATGGTATAATATAATACACAGAATACAGAATAAAAACTCTGGTTAATACTTAATTGACAAAAAAGTTTATTTGTCAATTACACGAATGCACTTGAAGTTTAACTTGTAATCAAAAAAAATATGACCTACATATGTACAATTTGTCTAGAGCTCAGAGTTTTTTGGAGTTAAACATTTTCTTTACTATATTACTAGATTTGCCCGCGATTTTGTTAGGTTATAATATAAAAATATGGTTTTTCGCTTATATGAGGAAAAGTCGAACATTTTCTGGGATGTAAAGTAGCCTATGTGTTATTCTTGGACGTTAGCTTCATGTCTACAAAATTCTATCAAAATCCGTTCAGCCGTTTGAGCATGAAGAAGTAACAAACATACACACTCACTCACAAACATTCGCAATTATAATATTAGTAAGATTTAAGATTGGAAACTTAAAAAACAATGTATAAATATATCTCTTAGTGAATGCATTTCTTATAATTGACCTTTCATCCTGGGATGTTTCAGCACTTCATACTCTAAAAGCTTTCGTTCACCAATTTCTTGTTTCATGAAAAAAACAATGGAAATAATATTATAATCAATTAACTAGTAATTTGACATTTATATTCAAGTCCTACAAGAAGTTAGCATAATTAAAAAAATAGGAAATGTTCCAAAAGAATAAAAGTAAACGACGCCATCTTTTTTTATATTTTTCTGTCTGTTCATCTAAAGTTAAAGACATTGTCTCTATATATAAACATTACATTTTAATTCATATAAAACATACCGAATATATATTAATATAGTTTGTAATATCATGACAAAAAATAATGTCAAATACTGTCTCAGTATTATATCTCATAAAACAAATTGTTCAGCTTATATTAACTAATGATGAACATACTATACGCTTACTAGAAGTTTGCTATGTTAATACGTACAGATCGTTTATAGCTTTTCGTTTATGAATCTTTTCATATTATATTAGTAACATAGGTTCTTGAATGAGAACTGGAAACTTTTGGTTTTCACATAAAAGGAATACTATTATAAAGAAAATCAGTTGCCTTACAAGGAAAATAAAAAGGTAAGACTAACAAAATCACATAAAGTGTGACATTAATTTATTATATATCAAAATGTATGACACCAACACGATCTATATATTAATTTCGCAATGTTTATTATAATTTTTCTACAATGGCAACCCGGTTTCCTTGTCAAAAACTTTCAAAGACGCTTCCATAAATGTGCCAAGTTTAATAGTTTCGTAAGTCATGATTTCCGTCTCCAAACCCGCGCTTTTCAACACAGCGATGACCGAAGGACCATAGAAATGATGTCCCTTGTATGGCCTCCTGAAATTCACTGCAACATTGCCTCTCAGTGTGGTCACATATACCACTTCAATTTCCAATTCACTTTTCTTAGCTGTCAAAACCGCTGTAGCAGATTGTCCCGGTTTTAATTCAATTTCTACAGCACTAGTTGAGCCTATGGTCACAGTTTCTGACCTTTCTTCGCTCTTACCGTAAGTAGATGTGAAAGAAATCTCTGTTGAACCGGAAATTTTGGCAAAAATCACGCTCAAATCGTATTCAAATTCTTGGGAAACGCTGATTTCTTTTGACTGAGACCAACTTGTAGTTATAGTGTTCTCAACAGATTGACTCAGACCAGCGTTAACTTTGATCGTCAAATTTGATGGATTTTCGAAATCATGGGATAAAACTGACGTCTTTTTCAACGAATTTTTCTTTAACCTTACACTACTGACTCTTAAAATCGTTTTAACTTCCTCCCAATTATACGTTTTGTACAAATCACCCCACGGCGTCGGACTTTGCAAGAACACGTCTCTGGGTAAAGATCCATAGAAACTTTTGACAGCTAATCTTAAATTATTTCTCTCTATATTAAACAAGTTTTTAAACTTATCTGTAATAACATTTTCTTCAAATCCAGAATAATTTATAGTAAAATCACTAACATCGTCACTCGTTTCCAAATCAATGGTTATTTTGGCTGTACCAAACACAACCAAACAAGCTAACACAATAAGAGTACGCATGATTATTTTTAACTAAAGACATCTATATATTGATAAAATATTTGGTAGTTTTAATTATTAACTTAACCCGTGACAGCTTTATCTTGAAAGCTGAATTAGGGTTCGTTAGAATCAAATTAAATTATTACTTATATTAATTTAAATCATAAAATTAATACATTACATGATCATTGAACTAATAGTCATATATTTATAAAATTTTAATACACGCTGGCATTAATTAAGATGCTCAGATTTTATTAGTCAATTTCCTAAATAGTTATGTTTTAAAAAAGACATCAAAAAGTCAAATTGATAGAGGTTATTTTAATTAAATTTACTCATATAGTTGAAAATGTCAAGTTACTTGAATTTAAACCTGCGACTCACTAGACATAGCTTCAAAGACGCTTTAACAATTGAGCTATAGTGTCTATACTAAGTACGTAGCTTTGTACCAATTTGGACCAACAAAATTGATATTTTACATACAAATGAATCCTAAGTATGAAATTCACATAGAATACCTATTCAAATCTTCTATATATATAAAAATGGATTTCTGTTTCTTAGTCTCGCTAAAACTCAAGAACAGCTGAACGGATTTATCTTATCTTAGTCTTGAAATGTTCGTGGAGGTTCAGGGAAGGTTTAAAAGGTGAGAAAAATTGATTCATTTCCGGGAAAATCCTAAAAACAGCCCTTTTCTATTTCCCATACAAATGTTTTCTTTGACATTAGATTTGACAACTAACTAATATGTCAATCATTCTCTTCGATTGAAACAGGAAAAACCTGATTATTTATGGCCTCTAGGACGGAATAGAGTTCGCCCGGTCAGCTATACATATATTACTAATGACGAAATTAACGCGGACGAAGTCGCGGGCAAAAACTAGTATTAAATAAAACTCTTGAACAAATACTTTTTGAATAAATAAATTATGAATTAAGATAATAAAATGTTATGAAGAATGATAATCAAGAAAATTTGAGAACAAGCGGTGGTGAAATAGCGAGCAAAACATAGTATGTTACATGAAAATATAAACTAATACTTATTACAAGAATTTATACAAATTATATATATACTACTTTTTGTAAATAACTTCGTCTACAGATAGAAATAAAGAAATATTGATTTATTAATTGTCCGCAAGTGACATCTATTGTCTTTCTCTCACTACAGCATAAAATTTCGTATAGATTACAGCTTATCTTATCCTAATATACAAGCTAGATTACTGGAGAGTTTCATCAAAATACGTTCAGTAGATTATTAATTGAAGTATAACAAACATGAAGACGAATATTTATAATATTACATATTAACTTTAACATTGAATTTATTATCTGATAGAAATGTCAAGAGGGCAGATATATTTCACAGTACAACAGTTCCGTGATTACATTACTACGCATAAATTAGGTTGCTTTTAAATATATTAAATACTACTTATTATCCTCGACTCCGTCTGCGTAAAAAAAAAACACAATGAAAAAGTTCCAAGCGCCGCATACAATCCGCCTCCCAATCGCGAGTGATAACACTAAATTTCGGGATTGAAATAAAAATAATTCCAAATTACTCATTATTACATGAGCTACCTGCCAATAAAAGTCCTATCAAAATCGGTCCAGCCATTTCAGAGATTAACCCGAACAAACAGATGGACAAAAATTTTAAATAATGTTATTTTTATGTATGTACCCTACATTCATTTGTCCTGTTATCATTACAATCTTTCAAATGATTAAAATAAACGAGATCTTTTGAGATTTATACGTACAACAGTTTAGTTTTTAAAAAAATATTATTTGTTTAGTTACCAAATATTTTTCCAACAAATTAAAACAAAATAGCAATTTTTTTCACAGATACGAATTAGTATGTTATTGTTTACTAATGTATATTTTAAAGGGACTCGTAAAATAAAACAAGGCAAGTATAACCCACGATAATTTCCTAGTAGTACGCCTGTAATCTTTTTATATACTACTTTATATATAATTACTTTATTTATATATAGATATGTCGATATCAATTAATGTCATTCGTTCCGTCCTTAAAGACACTATGACATTGAAAATATACATCTATTGGTGCCTATTTTTACTATGTGAGTGCAAAATAAATATTAATATACAAGTATCGTCAAGCAAAACCGGGTCAAACATTAGTTATAATGGTTTCGATGACAAATTATTAACTAGCAAGGAAATAAAGCTTTATAATTTGAGTGATTCGAATCTAAAACAAGGTGTGAGAATAGAATTAGGAAGAATACCTGACGATGTTTTTCTCAATGAATCTCCGAAGTACGGTGATTTGTACGAAACATATAACTGGACAAGAATTAGAAGAAATTTATGCGTCAAAAAAGCAGAAATTATGGATGTTATAAGTAAAAATGTAATTGTAAACAAAATAGATCACATAAACAACACGACGAAGAAATCTAAAATACGTATCAATGAATATTTTCCAGTTGAAAATATCATTTCATCAGCGTGGTCCAAAGACGGTCTGCCAGACGATGATATATATTACAACATGAATATAGACTTAATTCTTAAAAAGGTTACATTAGAAAATAAATGGAGCAACACAAAACTGAAGACAGTAGAAATACAATTCGGCTTAAAGAATCCAGGATACGTTGAAATAGAACCGGGAGAAACAATAACTACGAAATTAACAGCTAGAAAAACTACAGCTCTATACAAAATAACCTACAAAGCGCAACTGACGGGTTCCATTATTGCAAATTTCGCGCATGAATACGGCAAATATCATTTTTACGCGCCAAAAATATCCGATATAATGAAAGCCAACAGACTAAATAACGAAATTATAACGACTGAAGTTATTGAAATTAAATGCTACACGGATCCAAGGATGGATGTTTTTGATAAGAAAACTGGCAAGCGAATGATTATTAAGTTTTTAAATAAACCTTTTTGGAGAAGAAAGAATAAAAAGAAAAATTAATACTTGAAATTAATATTTATGTGTATTAAATTAAAATAATTATTTGATATTTGCTTTATTAAGTATGATTTTAAATAGAACTAAAGTTTTTATGAGCTTTTATTGCAAAAATTTGTAAAAAGCGCCCTCTTGTTGCTTCACAGGGATATGACATCCAATAAAATGTTTCAACTTTCACTGTTTTGATTTTATATGAATTAGTTTATAATATAGTAAATAAAAATATTAAGCTTATACTACATTCATGACTTAATCTTATTTGTATTCATTTAATATGTCTTAATATGTTCCCTGTAATACATCGTTAGCAACATACTTAATTTTTCAACCACCAGATGGAGTTAGCGTCGTTTGTTTAATCAAATTATTGATACTACCATTATTAAATAATTAAAAATTTGTGTATTCAAAGTAAATATATTTTAAATAACAAATATTACATATTTTAATACAAAAAACTTCTAATATGACTATTAAGTTACAATACAAACGTCAATGCACTGCTTCTCAACTGTCATCACAATGTTCTGACTCGTGAGTCAAATGTCGATAGAGTCATTCTTTTCATGGTCAGTTAGCCGACTGTTTGATCATTAAATTATTCTGCTATTAAATATAATTTTATACAACAATTTATAACAAAGTACATACATTAATTTCTTTGGATACAAATGTTAGTTTGAAATGGTTTTTATTTGATTTTTATTTTAACCTTTCTACTTTTTCCTAGTTTACTTATTCTACGTAACTAATTTATAAAATATTCAATTAATTATATTACGTATAGAATCAGTTTTGTGTGAATAATGTTAGGAATAATCATCTGCGTGCCTTTATATGCAATTGCGTAAGTTTTTTTTCTTTTCTATCTTTTTATTTTACTGTTCAAATGTGAAAGTTTCGGTGGATCTTTCGCCAGCTAAAAAGAGCTACAGTGTCGTATAACAGATATTATTTTGCTTTTATTGTTTTAACGGAATTTCTAACTGTAATTACATTGTATTAAAATACTTATTTCGTTACAAAAATCTAATACATTCGTACCAAAATTATAAACATTATTTAAACATGATCAAACGAATTTTCAAGAATATTTTAATATATAACTATAAGTAAGTCATTTAAAATTCAATGTTACGAAAATTTTGTATTAATTATTTTCCAGAATATTCCTAAATATGTTTTTTGATTAGATACAAATTTGAAGGACAATAAGAAAAATTCGACCTTTGATCTTCTTAAAAAACTTTAAATAAATATTAACATCATTCAACATAATACATAATGAGTTACATAAGATTAATATAAACATCATTTTGTGTGTACATATACTAATGTTATTTTATTTAAATATTATTTCAATATTATTCTTCATATATCTGGCTGATGAGTCAGAATATTTGATATCATATAATATGAATACAAAATAATTTTAAATCTCATATAACATCATCAAAGACTATGAAGGCTTTCTTTTCTTACCTTTTCTTTTCATTATCACTAAATCATCATCAGTTTTAGCTCAATAAAAGCAGTTCTTACATCACATCTAATTCATCAGTTCTTCTCCGACCTAAATAAAGTTATTAAACATAAGCATACACTCATTTTCGTAACTATCAAAGGCTTTTCTTTAGGTTGAAAGAACTTGAACAATTATTATTTTTACTATTATGACCCCTTAATATACATCCGAATAGTTTAAGACACTTACATAAATTAAAAACATTTTTCTTTAAGTTTTAAGCTTAATTTTCTTGACAATTGTGACCAAAAAGGTTACTATTACCTTAGGATATTCTGCCCTAGATCACCTCAATTCCTGATGAGCCCTTTATTCCTATTTATAAACTGCTGATAAAATACTCATATATCTTGGTTGGATGTATCCACATTAATTGAATAAACCTGTTATAAGACTTGGGCCTGAATTAACATCAATTCATTCTTAGAACATACTTTGAAGTCAGCCCTAGTAGGTTTATTTGAAATTTGTTAGAGAGAGGAGCTTGGACAGTGGAGAGTTTAACGCGTTAGATAGGGTCCCTTAAACCTACACCTGGGTCACAAGTCCCAGTCACTGTTGAAGCTCCTCTCACTACAACGATGGACCCGACACACGCACCGTGAATACATTGAATGATGAGAGGTTTCGTCTCTCTATATATATTAAACCTACACCTGGGTCACAAGTCCCAGTCACTGTTGAAGCTCCTCTCACTACAACGATGGACCCGACACACGCACCGTGAATACATTGAATGAGAAATTTTCGTCTTAACCAAATTAATTTACTCAAACCTTTGACTACATGGATTCATAATTGAAACTTCTACATAAAATATTTTACAACTATCGTAAAAATCTAGATTTTTATACCTATTATAGTTGTTCTAGTATAATCTCAATACAAATAAACAATAATCTTGTATAGATACATTAATTTAACTTCTTATTGTTTTTTTTTATTATGTAAAATCTTTAATTACTTCCGTTCACTACATTATAAGTGTCTGTTTTATTACTTTATAAATTATGTCTACTTTTTCATTCTTATATAATGTAATTACTAGTTTTAACAAAGTTACTAAACATATTTGAATGAAATTTAAATTTTAGATTTCTAATAGAGATCAAATTTCTATAACTTTTGACTTGAAGTCAGTAATGGTGTAGTTATTAAATGCCCGCCTCTCGTTGCCGAGGGCGCGGGTTCGATCCTTGCATGTACCAATGTGATTTTTCCGAGTCATATGTACTTTCTAAGAGTATTTAGACACCACTGACAGATGAAGGAAAACATCGCGAGGAAACCTGGACTTATATCATAATTATAAGTTTGAAATCACCAACCCTTGAGCAAGCGTGGTGATTAATGCTCAAACCTTCTCCATGTGAGAAGAGGCCTTTGCTCAGCAGTGGGCTCTGATAGGATGATGACGATTACTTATAGTGTCTTGAAATATATAAACAATATTAAGTTCTATGGAAATTTTATGGTTTTTAGGTCACGGTTGGTTAGTAGCTAGTTTAATATCAAGAACAAGTTATTTAACACAATTAATATTCCACAAAACATGAAACGAATTCTTAATTAAAACTAATATATAGTATTTTTAATACGTAATGATATATATAATTACTAGTTTTTACCCGCGACTTTGTTCGCGTTTAAGTGATTATTAGAAATGTATAGCTGACCAGGGGAACTGTTTCGATTAAAAATATTGTGGATTTTATTAGCAATTATTTTGGTGTAACGAATTCAAAGTATAGTAATGTCTATCTCCTGATTCTAATCTATCTCTCCACCAATTTTCATCCAAACCCGTACAGCCGTACTTAAGTTATAAATAGTGTAACTAACACGACTTTCTTTTATATATATTATTGCCCATTCGTGATATTAAGTTCATAGCTCTTTACTAAATTAATATATATATACATTGTACAAATACCTAAAAAAAAGTTTTTTCTTGATGGAATTATTTGTGTTGTCTTATCTCTTAATCGGACCGATTTTGATGGAATTTTCTAGAATAAATAGCGGTTTAATAAGAACTAATTTACAGCAATTTTTTAAATAAAAATATGTTTATTCTTATACTCATATCCTACTAATATTATAATTGCGAAAGTTTGTGAGTGTATGTTGTTCACGCTCAAACGGCTGAACCGATTTTGATAAAATTTTGTATACAGGAAGCTGACGTCCAGGAATAACACATAGGCTACTTTACATCCCGGAAGTCCCGGAAATCCGCGGGTAACACCGCGGGGCGCAGCTAGTATAAACTTATATGAGAGCAAAATGATTGTTTTCTCACCACGATTTTCTATTTTCCAGGGCCTTAGTACTTGGCGCATCAATAACTGTCGGTATCTTCGTATTCCATGTAGCAGTCGTGCCTTTAATATTCAAATACTCAAAAACATTTAGACGACATCTTATATTCGCTAATTTTGGTAAGTATTTTTATATCTTCTCTTTCCTCTCTCTCGCACAATATGTTCTTCTCTTTCATTCTCTACGAGGAATTTTTTATTATAATAATAATGATTTTTCTCAAACCAGAATTCATTTAAACATATACTAGCTTTCCGCCCGCAGCTTCGCCCCCGTGGAGTTCGGTTATATCGCGTTTCCAAGAGAACCTTTTAAGTCTGAGATAAAAACTATCCTATTTTCTTTCTCAAGGTCAACTCCATCTCTGTACCAAATTTCATTAAAATCAGTTCAGTGGTTTAGGCGTGAAAGCGTAACAGACAGACAGACAGAGTTACTTTCGCATTTATAATATTAGTAGGGATATATGTTTGAATTATCCAAATAATTATGTATTTATTTAATTTTCAGCGCAATGGCCTCTAAATGTCAATTATGATAACCCAACCGAAAGCGGCATAGAGGGAGCGAGGAACTTTTATATTGAATACGAATCAAAAGTAGATAAATGTCCTATGAAAATAGGTAAGATATATTTACACGTAATATATACGTAAAACGTACAGTTAATACGTAAAAACACGTAAATTTAATGTTTTAAAGAAGTGAAACTACGTAATGTTGGTTAAAACAGGAGTAAAAACTAATTCTTTTAAGGAATTTTTAATGTTATACTAAGACAAACTTTATTATTACAGCGCTATACCCTATATTTTTCTTTCTATCCCCTCCAGGAGCGTTAAACGTTTAACGCAACCCTGTTGGAAGTTGCATAAAAGTTTCACTTCAATAATGTAATTATCAAATGCGGACCTTTTTTAACCACTAAGCCACTGCTGACCAGTATATTATATCTTCTTCCTGGCAATTTCCCAGCTTTAGCCAGAGTCTGCCAGTATATATTAATATAATTGTTTAATATATTATAGGTGTATGGCATATACTACCAAAAAGTTCATATGAGAGAATCAAAGGTAGTTTTGAACGTGGTGACAATGAAGAACTCAATCGAGCAATGGATGAAGATATTATTAACTCAAAACAACCTGTTGTATTATATTGTCATGGTGAGTAAAAATATATATATATTTAGGTATACAAGGTAATTTTATCATAATAAGTAATAAATTAAACACTAAATAATTCTAATTGTGAAAAAATTACTTTAAAAGTCGTTAATTTATAAAATATTTCAGTATAAACTTTCTTCTGATAATCTGCTTCCACTATAGATACGCGGAATTATACGTATATATATATACATATACAGGGTGACTGGTGAATTACTATCGATATTTGAGGACGTGATATTTGACGATCATATATGACAAAATAAAAATTAATATAACATAAATATTAATAAACTTCTAAGTAAAGTTAACCAAAAGTTATGTAATTAATTACGCATCGTGTGAACACCCTACAGATTAGGTATACACTGACACTCACACATACGCATGTCGTGACGTGGTGTTGTATCAACACGTCGCCGCACGCGTCCACACTTGAACACTTGGAACGTGTCAACACTTTACTTATTTATACGGAAATTTTGTCAAAAATTAAGTGCCTATTTTTTTTACATAATTCGAATGAGAATCATGTACCGAGTATGCTCCTTAAATATTGATAGTAATTCACCAGTCACCCTGTATATACACTTTGATATCATTAAAATATAATTATATCAAAACACATAATAAATTGTTACAAATAGTTTATGCTGGAAATATCTAGATATATGTTTATTTTTATATATTTGTTATGAAAATTAAATTTATGTTTTATTAATGTTTCAGGTAATTCAAACAGCAGAGCGGCCTACCACAGGATACAATTGTACAAATTCTTCCAAAAAATGGATTTTCATACTATAGCATTTGATTACAGAGGTATATATATATTAAATATTATTAAAAAGTAAAATTTTGTTTAATAATATTATTTCTACCATGATATAGAAATATATAAAAAATGCTTTTATTAAAATTTACTTAGTCAATAAACAAACATGTATATTATATATATATATATAACATATAATTATATTTCCAATTCTACATACATATGTATATATACAGGGTGTATGAAAAACTGTGTCAACCCTCTTAACTACGTTATCAGTATCGATAATGTAACACAATAAAACAACTTACATTTACAAACTCTTCAATAAAAATAATAAAATTAAATATTAAATGATTATTATATGTTGAGTAACAAAATGTTTGTAAACCCTGGTATAACACGATGGCACGCAATGACGTCATCACAGCTGCTGCGCTACTAGTGACGACCTTGAAGTTACTTTCACATTATTGAGAATATCGATATTTAAAAAATCATAACAATAAATAAATATTTAATATTCATATTATTTCGATACTTATTTTGATATATCAAACATTAATATTATGTTTAATTGTAAAACATCATTTTTAACAGAAATAGATTAACGATTTATCCTAATAATACAATATATGTAGTTAATTTACCTGAACAAGTTTCAAATTATAATATTTATTATTAATAAAAGTTATTTTAAATGAAATTATTTTAATGTGAAAAGCATAACTATTTATACCAATATTGAAAATGTCGATAGAATATTTATCGATATAACTAATTTTTCCACTTTCAAATCTCTATTCGACAACTAACAGAATAGTAATAATAACGCCGGCGGCCCGTCGCCTGCGGTCAATGGTCACGCATGCGTCGTAGCGACTATACGGTGTCTTGACCTTGTATGAGTCAGATGTTTGGAACATATTTTCGAAAAATGTCGATTTAAAACTTACTTAGCCTATGCACTGTAACTGACTTCTGCTTGATTTTTTTTAAGTTATACTATTTTTTATAATAAGCTTATACTTATATGTATACGTGCCTTCAAGGGTTGACACAGTTTTCATACACCCTGTATATAGTTAAAGGTATATTTCTAATAGTAATTGATATAATGTATTAAATTTTCAGGCTACGGTGATTCAACTAACGTGATGCCGACTGAAGACGGCGTGGTGGAAGATTCTCTAATCGTGTTTGATTGGTTGAACACAACCTTAGAGCCGGCCAAGGAACGACCGCCTGTCTTTGTATGGGGACATTCACTTGGTAATATTATATAAATACTAGCTGCGCCCCGCGGTGTTACTTTGATTTCCGGGATGTAATGTAGCCTATTTGTTATTCCTGGACGTCAGATTCCTGTATACAAAATTTTATCAAAATCGGTTCAGCAGTTTGAGCGTGAAGAAGTAACAAACATACACACATACAAACTTTCGCAATTATAATATTAGTAGGATATATATATATTAATAACAAAGAAAAAAAATATATAAGATAATATTGTGATTTAGATGACACAATCAATTGAAAGATTACTGGTTTTTGTGTAAAAAAAACCTCATTTAAAAGTATTAATTTACAATGTCGATTTCAATATCACAATTAAAATAAGTATGATATGTTTTGCAAGTTCTCTTCTTGGTAACAGTTTAAAATGAACCACAATATTTGGTGTTTGTCATAACACATCAAGAAAATTATATTTTTCTTTATATACTGGGTGGCGCAAAAGTAAAGACCCTATTTGGTTCAGCTATAACATTTTTTCTAAATGAGAAAACTAGATTTAGGTTTTTTTTTAAATGTATATTTGTGCCATTAAATTTCGTACCATTAGGATTTAAAGATGATGTCTTTTAAATGGTGACCTCCAGAGTTGATACACATTTGAGCCCTATTTATGACATTTTGCATAACTTGCCGTAACACTTCCTGCGATATGTTCGTTATTTCTTGACGAATGTTTTCTTTTAGAGCTGCGAGAGTCTGTGGCTTGTTCACATACACCCGAGATTTCAAAAAACAGATACACCTCTACACCCACTAAAAGTTACAGAGTTGACAGAGTGATCGGACCCTATTTTTTCGAAGACGCTGGAGGCAATGCGATAACTGTCACTGGAGAACGCTACAGAACCATGTTACGTGAGTTTTTGATACCCAGTTTGGACGAATTGGGGCTGGAGCACATCTGGTTTCAACAAGACGGCGCTACGGCACACACAGCGCGCGACACTATGGACTTAGTGAGGGACGCTTTTCCAGGCCGAGTTATCTCTCGTTTTGGCGATTTGCCTTGGCCTGCAAGATCACCCGATTTGACCAGCCCAGACTTCTTTCTTTGGGGTTTTTTGAAATCTCGGGTGTATGTGAACAAGCCACAGACTCTCGCAGCTCTAAAAGAAAACATTCGTCAAGAAATAACGAACATATCGCAGGAAGTGTTACGGCAAGTTATGCAAAATGTCATAAATAGGGCTCAAATGTGTATCAACTCTGGAGGTTACCATTTAAAAGACATCATCTTTAAATCCTAATGGTACGAAATTTAATGGCACAAATATACATTTAAAAAAACCTAAATCTAGTTTTCTCATTTAGAAAAAATGTTATAGCTGAACCAAATAGGGTCTTTACTTTTGCGCCACCCAGTATATATATACAGAGTGACTGGTGAATTACTATCGATACTTGAGGACGTGATATTTGACGATCATATATGACAAAATAAAAATTAATATAACATAAATATTAATAAACTTCTAAGTAAAGTTAACCAAAAGTTATGTAATTAATTACGCATCGTGTGAACACTCTACAGATTAGGTATACACACACACACACACACACACACTCGCGCGCGGCGGCGTGTTGTTGTATCAGCACGCCGCCGCACGCGTCCACACTTGGAACACTTGGAACGTGTCAACACTTTATTTATTTATACAGAAATTTTGTCAAAAATTAAGTGGCTATTTTTTTACATAATTCGAATGAGAATCGTGTACCGAGTATTCTGCTTAAATATATAATTAAATATACAGGGTGACTGGTGAGTTACTATCAATATTTAAGGACGTGGTAGTTGACGATCATATATGACAAAATAAAAATTAATATAACATAAATATTAATAAACTTCTAAGTAAAGTTAACCAAAAGTTATGTAATTAATTACGGATCGCGTGGATACCCTAGCTGCGTTATCGACACAAAACAGTTATGTACGTAGGTATATGTAGTTATCGCGCGGTAGTTTACCTACATCCAAACGTCGCGCGCCGCCGCGTGTTAGACCTTAGATAAACAAAAATGATCCAATTCCCTTCATACTTTAATCCTGGCTTAGGACAGGCAAAAATACCAAGATATTTCTTTCGTTTAAGCAACCAATTTATTGACTAGGTAAATGGTGTGACCTTGACACGAAAAATAATATGAACTGTTTACCTATCTTGGTATTTCCGGCGTATTTAAAAATGGAATCATTCTTATTTACAACAATTGTCAATCATTAAACTACCTATTTACCTACATAACTACACTAACCTTAACAAATGTTCAAAGCGAGCTCCTTCTCGTGTGATACACAGTTCGGCACGTTTACACATATTGTCTTTCACACGATTTAATACGAATGGGTCACTTTTAATAGTTTCGAAAGCACTATTGATTTTTAATTTCAACTCCTCTCTGTTGACATACATTGTAGCATACATAAGACGTTTCCTTGGGCATGTGTTGGAACACGGAACTGTCCGAAGTCTCGTAATCTTTGATTAGCGTTTAAGATGACGCTGGCCGTAGGTACTCGACGATTGGGGAACATCTCCCGGTACAAATTGATTGCGCCCGGCAAGCTTTCATTTGCACGCGCATACGCATGAACCATGTCCAAGTATTCTGCATTTGTGTATTGAAAAGCCATATTTAATTACTAATAAGTAATAACGGGTCACACGCACACACGACAGATTATTATTAGGTATACGCGTAAGATCGATCGCTAGGCGCGCGCGCGCGGGAAGACGAACGTACGGACCTTACGGCGGCGCTCGCGCGACTAATAGCCGACTAATGGCCCGCTAGCCACGGGGCGGGGGTTGGGGAGTAGCGACACACTGGCGCCGGCAAGGATGAGTACGTATCCAAACTTTATTTATTTATACGGAAATTTGGTCAAAAATTAAGTACCTATTTTTTTTACATAATTCGAATGAGAATCATATACCGAGTATGCTCCTTAAATATTGATAGTAACTCACCAGTCACCCTGTATATGGTGCTCACTTGCTATTTTGGACTTCTTATATTTAGAGTATAACACGCCAGGTTTTGAAGCATTTCACAATATTCAGATAATTACGTTTTTTATGTGAGGGTCGTTATAAATCGAATATCATAAGCAAAAATCTATTTACTGATTTATTGATTGTAATATTCATATAAATTTATAGAATATAAGAATAAAATTAAGTTTATTTCTTCACTTTAATTCTATGATTTCATATATGTATATTTTTTTTATAACATAAATTACATTTTTTTGTTTATTAAATATTTAATAATTATTTGTTTTAGGTACTGGAATATCATCACATTTGCTCGGTAACTTGAAAGAATTATCCAAGAATATTCTAGAAAAAGCTGAACCATTGAAACTACCAAATGGTTTAATATTGGAGTCACCATTCAATAATTTGGCTGACGAAGTCAATCACCATCCATTGGCAATTGTAAGTGTACAATTCAGAATAATATAATTTTTGTACACATTTTGAAATTCGCTTTAGAATTAAAAGTCAGTGGTGGCCTATTGGTTAAAAGGCCCGTCTCTCATGCATGAGGCGTAAGTTCGATCCTGGCCCTGGCAAGTACCAATGTGATTTTTCCGAGTCATATGTACTTTCTAAGAGTATTTAGACACCACTGATTAATGCATTCCCAAAAGAGGGTTGATGTCAGGCAGGCGGCCGGTCGTAAAAACGTAAGCTAAAACTATCCACATGTAAGGCATACCCTGGCTATAGTTGGGAAATTGGCAGGTAGAAGAAGAATTATATTAATATTATGTATATTATCTTTTTCAGTTGGTATCCTGGTTGCCGTACTTCAAAGAGATGTTTGTATCACCATTCATTGGATGTCCGTGTCATTCATTCCGTTCTGATGATCATTTATCACGACAGAGGTCGCTGCCTGTATTAGTACTACACGCAAGAGATGATTTAGTTGTGCCTCATATAGTCGGAGAAAAGGTATATATATTAATATATACAATAGTGTATATATATATAAATGAAATTATTCACATAACTACGTGTTTTTTATAATTTTAATCTACATACTACCGAAGTTTCGGTTCCTTTGCAAACAGTTATCATATACAGTGTAAACTCTATATAACGACACTCGATTTAACGACAAACTCTCTAAAGCGTTGAAATCATTTGACTTTGGTTGGTTTAGCTTGTCTACCATACAATGATACACTCTACATAGCGGCACACCCACTCTCAATAACGAACAATTAAGTAATAAAAATTACCTTTTAAGTTGCTAAAATTAGTAAAAACTGCGCAACTGTGTACGTTATTTTATCGCTTTGATATCCTAGCCTGCAATAAACTCGACTGTCAGAATCATGCATACTGAACTTTCTAAGAAGCCTCAATATCGCAAGATATGAATAAAATCAGTAAAAAAATACAACAACATTACTGGTGCAGCAAAAGACATCAAACAAAAATAACAGACTATACGCAATAGCGTTCGAATAACATTCTTTTTTATGTATATAAGTACTACCACTAGTCTGAAATAAACTTTGTCTTTTTCTAATTCTGATTTTTCTTCTTTCTATTTAACGGCAACTCTCTATAACGCACTAAAATGCACGGTCCCTTCAGTGTCGTTATATAGAGTTTACACTGTATATAAAAACAAAAACTGTTGTTGTATATACATATAAATGAATATTCACGAGTCTTGGATTTACTCATTTATGTACACATATTTACAAAATTTTAATTAATTTTAAGTTAATCATGATTCACATTAACTAAAGAAGCAATATTATAATTATATATTTGTTTGTTTCAGTTGTACCAGTCAATAGTTAAGTCTCGTGCTAACGGCGGGGCGACCATTAAACTACATTCCTACGACAAGAATCAAAGTCTTGGACACAAGTGGATCTGTACCGCTAAAGATCTACCACAAGTTGTCGGGTGAGATTGTACACAGTTGTACAAAAATGTGTACAATTTACAGTTTTGTACACAAAAACTTCTGCGATACTTTATAGTGACGTTTTAAAATGTGTACATTTTCTGTCTTGTACAAAAAAGCTGTTTTTCTCTATCTATTATTGACACAATAGCTAAATTGAGTTTATAAAAGTATATACAATATGGACTTATATTATACATATTAAAATGAATACATACATTTTTAAGTCTTATTACAATAGTTTAACACATTTTAATTAAGCTTTCTTCAAAAGTAGTTTGCACTCTTCATTTGTAATGCAATTATTAGTATTTCTTGATTATTTTTCCTAATTTGTATATAAATAATAATATTATTGTTTCAGAGAATTTGTATCCAGTCATCGATAATTTTACATTCAATACAAATACAGTATTTTAATTTGATATTTTAATAATGAAGTATTCTTTACTTCGCGACACGCTTGATGCTCACAGACGCTTCGCAATGGTTTTATTTATTTATTTATTTTGTAACAAATAAATCATGAAATATAAATGGCTTTCATTTTACTGAACCGCTTTTTTAATATCAGCGCCATCTATGAGAGAGAAGTTAAGTTTGAGTGTGAAGATATTTTTTATCGTTTTATTAGAAGATCAAATATTATTGCTATAAAAATAACGGTAAACAATAAATAATAAGTATATATTAGGAATATAGGAACGGATTATTGATAGAAGTTGCAAGCATGTTTCATAAAATAACCAAACATTTTAATTTAAGTTCTATATTAGGTACTAAGATTTTGATTTTAACTTAAATATCTATATTGTATATTTAATTTATTTGTCTATTTATTTATTTGCTTAAACAATTGTCTTATATAACTTAAATAGTAATAGCAACACTATTTTTAATGTTAACCTAATCATTTATAATAAAAACTAATTTCAAATAAACAGTATTACAAAAAAAGAAGTATGACATTTGACTTCAAAATTAACCTATGTGTGAAATATAAGAAAATGTAAATAAAATATTGATTATAAATAAAATGTACATAAAATATAAAAAGAAAATAATTATAAAGTATCAAATAAATTACAATGGTTGTTGGGTGAGTACTTGAAATAAATTTTACTATTAAGAATATTTTGAGTTTCTATTCCATGTTTTTTGTTTTTACACAATTAATTAGATGATTAATATTTAAAAAAATAGTTACATCATTCCAATATATTTGTAAACTCCTTTTTACCTTAATATTTTGTTAAAATTCAATGAAAACGAGTATATTAGAAGAATTAGCAATAATAATATGTTTTCCCTCCATTAGAGCTATTCTTGTAACGGGCGCGTCACTAACGGCCAGTGTACTAGTCTTACAAGTGGCTGTATTGCCTCTTCTTTTTAGATATAGCAAGTCCGTACAAAGAAAAATGGTGTTTTCTAATTGCAGTAAGATATTCTTATGAAATATATATTTTTTTTTATACTCTAATCGAATTATTGTGCTAAATATTGTACTTAAAAAATTGCGCCTGGTAAAATTTTATACGTATTCCAATGTAACGTTTATTGCTATTTTATATCAACAGGCGTACAAAACGTTTAACAATATCTTAAATACTGTTTAATATTTTATCAATTGTATGAAAATTGCATATACCTTTCAGTAAACTACCCAAAAAATCTGGATTTCGAAAACCCACAAAGCTGCAATTTAGTTGGGGGAAGAAATTTTAACATTGAGTTCGAATCAGTGGTTGACAACTGTACAATCAAACTAGGTATTATATATTATTTATACTATATAAAAAGATATTTATCAGACATTTTTAAGTTTTAAATGCTTTCTAAGCTAATATTATTGATTTTAACGATTGAAAAATAGACATAATTTAATTAATATTAGTTTTATGACCGCAAAAACACTGTTTTGTGTTATTGCTAATAATTTGTTTCAGGCGTTTGGCACATTGTACCTTGTTCTTTATTCCGGGAGCTGTTCGTAGTTCATGACTACCTCTCAATAGATCAGCGTCTTTTAAACGAGCTCAGGAGAACCAAAAACACAGTAGTGTTGTATTGTCATGGTAATATTAAATATAAATCCTATATATTTATTTGTAATATTATTTGTAGTAAATTTAATTAAGTCAATGTTGCTTCTTCTACCTGGCAATTTCCCAGCTTTAGCCAGGGTCTGCCTTACATGTTTTTTGAATAGTTTTGACTAATTGTTTTTACGACCGGCCGCCTGCCTGACATCAACCTTCTATGGGAATGCATTAATGTCTAAATACTCTTAGACAGTACATATGACTCGGGAAAATTACATTGGTACTTGCCAGGGCCAGGATCGAATCCGCGCCCTCATGTATGAGAGGCGGTTCTTTTAACCACCACTGACTAATAACTATATATATTTGAAGGTAATTCCAACCACAGAGCGTCCCCACACCGCCTCCAGATGTACAAGGTGTTCCAGGACCTGAATTTCCACGTGATCACGTTTGATTACAGAGGTTAAACATCATTTATATATTAATTAAACGTAGACATAATATTACTAAGATTAGTCGTTTAGTCGTTGCAAATGTATTATAATTTCAATTTAAAATATGTAATGAATATAAAAATATTTCGTAAATACAAAACAATACTTCAAAGTACTCCAAACATTACTCGTTTCAAATATCCCGTGAAAATATTGATTTAAAGAAATTAAATTAGAATTATATCTTTCGTCACTCTCTTTTTAAATACATATTTTAGTAACATGACCTTTAACCTTAGAAATTCATATTATTCCGCTATTCGCTCCAATTTCTTACAATATGTCTAAGTAAAGTGACCTTTGACCTTATGTAGGTTACGGTGACTCGACCCGCGTCCGTCCCACAGAAAGTGGAGTGGTGGAAGATGCTCTACAAGTTTATTCCTGGATCATTAACAACATACAGAAGAATGAACAACCCATGGTCGTATTGTGGGGACATTCACTGGGTATTATGCCTACTAATATTATAAATGCGAAAGTAACTCTGTCTGTTTGTTAAACTTTCACGCCTAAACCGCGGAACTGATTTTAATGAAATTTGGTACAGACATAGAGTTGACCTCGAGAAAGAACATAGGATAGTTTTTATCCCAGACTTTTGAAAGGTTCTCTTGGAAACGCGATATAACTGAAATCCACGCGGGCAAAGCTGCGGGCGGAAAGCTAGTATTATATATACTAGTTGTTGCCCGCAACTTTGTCTGAATTAGTAATGTATGACTGGGCGAACTCTGTTCCTCAAAGACAGTAGGAAAAAAGATTTTGGATTTGATCAACATTCAACACAAACAAAAAATATTTTTTTCTTTTATAATCGTATGAAAAGTATCCTATGTCCGTTCTATGTTCTAATCTATCTCTCCACCAATTTCCATCCAAACCCGTACAGTCTTTAGAGTTATAAATAGTGAAACTAACACGACTTTCTTTTATACATATATATGTATGACTATTAAAGAATATACATATATTCTAAGCTCATAACTCATTATAATAATAATAATCTTTTATTTCGACCAGTCTGACCATATTATGAATACTTCCTCGTATCATTACTATAAGAAAATATTAAATCTAATATTACAATATGTACAATATCTATCTCTTTCTTGTTCATAATATTATAGTATATATCTCTATCTCTATCTATCTCTTGTTCCAGGAACAGCCATAGCTGCTAACCTGGTCTCCAATTTGTCAACTCTGTGTAATTCGCGCGGCGTCTGTCTCCCTCCTCCTCACGCGCTAGTCCTTGAAGCTCCCTTCAATAATCTCCTCGATGAAATCGAATGCCATCCATTTTCGAAGGTATTTTTTTCTATATGCATCCTTCACTTTCCTCCATTTTCCTTCATTTTCCCACAGGCTATTCATTTTACTTCATTTTTACTTTCCCCGCATTTCCTTTATTTTCCTGTATTTCCTTTATTTTCCTTCACTTTCCTCCATATTCCTCAATTTTCCTCTCAATTCCTCCATCTCCTCACCAGCTCGTCTCCTGGCTGCCGTACTTCCGAGGCTCGTTCGTGAAGCCCTTCATGTCATCAGAGCACACCTTCACTACTGACTGCTATCTGTCCCGCGTTCCTTCAATGCCGATACTAATGTTACACTCAAGAGGAGACAGGATCGTGCCTTACGATCTCGCCTGTAAGGTATGAAAAATATATTCATACCTACTTTATATATATAAGAGACAACAGTGACTGGGACTTGTGACCCAGGTGTAGGTTTAAGGGACCCCATTATCATATTATACGATAAAGTATGAGGGAATTTATGGATGAATAAATGGATGAAAGAAAAACGTCCACTGTCCACTCTTTATATATTCGTATGAAAAACAGGATGAGACATTATAACTTAGAAGTCCACCTCTCATGCACGAGGGCGCGGGTTCGATTCTGACAACTACCAATGTGATTTTTCCGAGTCATATGTACTTAAGAGTATTAAGACATCACTGATTAATGCATTCCCAAATAAGGTTGATGTCAGGCAGGCGATCGTAAAACATAAGCCAAAACTACCCACATGTAAGGCAGACCCTGGCTGTAGCTGGGAAATTGCCAGGTAGGAGAAGATGTATAATAATGTATGTCTGTTCATCATTAGCTTCACGAGTGTATATCTGCGTCCCGGTCGACCGGCGGGGCGCCGCTAGTGTTTCATTCATTTGACCGTGGTCATAATGACCTCTGTGAAGCTCCCGAACTACCCGCTGTTGTTGAGTTAGTATTTATTGTGGGTAGATTAATATTTTTTGAATCGAAAGACGAAAAATATAAGAGATTTTTATGTTTTTTTTATATATGTATTTGAGTCGGGTTTTATCTTTGAATGAAACTAATATTTTCGGATTTATTCGCGTTTTTATTTTTTAAAACTACATACCTACTCTAGACGTTTCGGTTACTTTTCAGCAAACCGAAAATTATTAGTTTCATTTAAATGAATACCTTCGAAAATCTTAGATATCATTTTTGTCTTTGAAGTTTGATTTGTAAATTTTGAGGATCAATTAACTGCTTTTTTTGGGACAGAAGCCGAAATTTAGTAGGTACTTATTAGAAAGTATTTTTACGATTATAAAGATATATATTTTTCAGTAGTTTTTTTCATATACTTATATGTTGAGTTGTTTATATTGATTATGTATGTGAATGAAATTAATAAAAATATATAATTTCAGGAGCTTTTTGGAACTCGTCAAGAAGAAGTGAAATATGTGAATACAATTAAAATAAAAAAACTAATTACAAAATACAATAGTTCTTTATTTCATATGTAGTAAGGTTCAAAATGTATTTATTTATTCTTCCCTATCTATTAGCCACTTAAACCACATGTCGTGATATCCCGCTGCGAAGATTTGCTGAGCCCATAATGATCGAACAAGTGTTTAGAGTAGACATGATGAGAGGAGCGCCGCATGTGGCTCATACAAATATACAGATATTAAAAAATATTATAGTAAATGTTATAATATGCACCTAATAGTGATATTTAATTTGAAAGAGTAATATGTTAGTACATATATATAAAAATAATTATTAAAAATACAAAGAAATATGTATAATTAAAATTATAAATAATTTGATTGTTGAGAAATTATAAATAATTTTTTGGTCAAATAATAGAAATAATAATATCTTTATTGAAGTGTTGTTTCTAAGAGTATTGAGACATCACTGATTAATGTATTCCCAAAGAGAGTTGATGTCAGGCAGGCGGCCGATCGTAAAAACAATTAGCCAAAACTATTACATGTAAGGCAGACCCTGGCTATCGCTGAGAAATTGTTAGGTAGAAGAAGAGTGTCGTTGCTTCTAAGAAACTAAAATGTAATAATATTTTGAGTAACTAATATAATTAATACATAATATATAAACTTACCAACTAAATTGTTTACTCCAAGTTTCTATGGAAACTACATACGTAGCGTTAACAGTTACATACTCATTACTTCATCGTCATCATCCTATCAGAGCCCACTGCTGATAGGCCTCTTTCTCACATGGAGAAGGTTTGAGCATTAATCACCACGCTTGCTCAAGACGGGTTGGTGATTTCAAACTTATAATTTGAATACTTATCTACACTTTATAAATGAAGATCCTTTTATTAATAAACAGAAGGTAAGTAGTTAATCCCTACTAATATTATAAATGCGAAAGTAACTGTCTGTTTGTTCGTTTGTTACGCTTTCACTCCTAAACCACTGAATTGATTTTAATGAAATTTGGTACAGACATAGAGTTGACCTTGAGAAAAGACATAGGATAGTTTTTATCCCATACTTTTGAAAGGTTCTCTTGGAAAGGCGATATAACCGAACTCCACGCGGGTGAAGCTGCGGGCGGAAAGCTAGTTGTAAATATTTGGAAAAAATAAAAGTGAAAGTAACTTTAAAACAAACAAAATATTAAAAGTAAAAGTAATTATTATAACTTTATAGTTCTTTTTAATTATATTATTATAAGAAAAGGGAAATTCGTCGTATGTAGTAGACACTAGTAGTAAGTTATCACTGTATATCTAGTATAGTATAGTTGTATGTACTTGTAGTTGTTGTAGTCAGCTAAAGTCAACACCTCGTCATTTTAATCGGATTATTAATTGGATTAAAAACCAATTGGATGGGAAAATATTAAATGTAAGAAAAACTTAATTTGTATGAAGATATTTATTTTAAAAATATGTACTATTTTTATTATTATATGAATTAAATAATAAATTTGGTATAAAAATTTGAATTGAAATTCTAGATTAATCTTAGAACAGAATTGTAGGTATACCTATAGGCTATAAGTAGAGTACTTGTTAGAAAAAGGCTAAGTAAGTGTATATGAATAATATGATCTTTCAAAGTCTGACTAAAAACCAACAGTTTGTAGTAAATACGTCTCATTTGTAGTATGATACTAAATACTTTAAGTTTTTAATACCTACAATCATTGATCATATAAATTCTTATTAGAATGATCCTTTAAATATAAATAAGATTTTATAAATTATTGGAATTATAAATCAATAAGTAAGTATCTTAATAGAAAATGTAGGGAAGAGTCGGATATATCGTACCACTGAATGAAAGACATTAAAATTCTCAATCAAATTATTTATTTTTAGCAGTTAGGTAAGTAATAAAACAACATTATTTATATCTTTTAGGTAATAGAAACATAATTTTTAACTCTTCTCTCTCTCTCTCTTTAACTAGTTTTTGACCTTGGGTAGTACTTACTATACGTACTTACGGTAGTACTATAGGTACTTGCGGTTGGTAGTCGGGTAAATCGTACCAGTACAATTTAACCAACTGCAAGTGGTACGATTAAACCAACTAAGGCATTTCTAAAACAAAAGCAAATATCCGGCATAAACTCAAAACTTAGACATGCAACAAAAACGCCCAATAATCTAGTAGACAATTGTGGAATAATAACAAAAGCTGTATAACTATAGCTTACCTTGATTAAGAGTTATCTCCTTACGAATGTACGACAATATTTATATTAATTCCTACAAAAAATGTTTTTATTTATTACTTGCACAGTTGTTAACTCACGTCGATTTAAACTAGTGGGTGAAGAGGGATGGTACAGGGCCACGATTTGGCGTTGTCAGTGTAGAAAAAAATATTCATTAAATGGGAAATTTAGAAGTGGTACGATTTAAATGCTAGTACGATATAACCAACTCTCCCCTACACACACACATATAGGTATACGAAGTTTGTTTGTGTCACCATGAAACAATTTGAATTATAATTTTATCATTCGATAGACAAAAATTTGGATATAACTAAAAGCTTTTGTTACAAGAAATATAAATGATAGAGCAGGATTTATATAGAATAAATACAAATTATGACATACCTATAGATACCTATATGAAGTTTGTCTAACAAAGGAAATTTATTGTTAGGAAATAATATTTCATGGAAACTGGATTAAATGCTCCATTTAATTCATCTACATAGATATACAAAGATAATAAAATGTTATTAAAAATAGAGACAATTACAATGAAATAAATTTTATAGAACTGCTTTATAAATACGTATAAATATATATTTGGAAGAATCATGTCTAATTCCTCCATTTTGTTAACTTTCTTCCTTAGTAGGATACGAAGATTCTTAAACATAAAATGGAAACAGCACAACACATACAGCCGACATCAGAAAAAGAATTCAAACAAAAATATCGTCCATGAAGTTTTTATTACGAAACAGAAAAAAAAATATTAAAAACTATATGAATCGAATGAATTATATCCAAAACATTATTTATTAGGACATCAGCGACGGCTCTTGTTTATTTCATATACATCGTAATATGCGTCCCGAGTTCGGGAGCGAAACAAACGAAAACAAAAAAAAAACGTCTTTAAATAAAACAAAAGAAACACGAAAGACATGTCGTTAAAACAATCGACGCGACCCAACAACAGAAGAATCTATGACGTAACATTGAGATTCCATTTTCAAATCTCCCGCCTTTTTTTAAAAGCGACATTCGCTTGCCCGCGCCCTAATGATAGTTCACGGGACTCGGGGAAACGTGTAGTTACATATTTATAAAATGGAATCGATTTTCAAACGGACCAATCGCGTGTCACGGCGAGGGGGCGGGGCTTCATCCCCACCATCCCGTTTAACCTCAGGTGAGAGAGAAGAGTTTAGATTTGGTCATTCGCTCAGCGTCCGTCGCTGAGAGGTGACGTCTGTTTTATGTTACAGATATTGTCATAATTTTATTATGCAAAATTTATATGCGCAAAGCTTAATGTTATGTTCATGTTTAGTCTTACAGTAAAACTACAATAAAATAACTTTTATAAAACAAAATAATTTTTGTACCGATACAGTATGATGTCGACTTAGTCAAAACACACTATTAATGACATTGCTCTTAGAACTAGGAATAAATTCAAAGATTTGTTTAAACTGTTACTAAAACAAACTCTACTCTTTAGAATTAGCAATCCTTGCACAATATAATGACGATATAATTTTTTAACAAAACCCTTACAATATATTTGATTTCACAATCGACCCGCGCCATAAATTACATCAACAAATTACCGATATATCGATACATTAATGATAAATCGCCGGACATCGATACATCGATAATAAATCCCTATCGCCATCACCGTACGACGCTATCGGAATTCGTTAAGCTCAGTTTTATTTGAATATTACAACTCGGCTACTGGTTTTTAGTTTTAGTTATAAACCCGCTCGTTACGGATAAGTAGGATTTCGTAGGATTTTAATAAAATAAATTTCAAATTTAGAACGCTATTTTTATGACATACGTTTTATTGCTGGCCGGCGAGGTTTGGAATAGTAAAAAATAAAAAGAAAAATAAAGCGTCGTCCGTCAAAAATGACGCGCGGTTTTATATAATTAGTTCCGTTATTTGTTTTAATAAATCAAAGCTAAAACACAAAGGACGTTCGAGAAGATCTCTGCGGAATGCAGGAGTTTTTTTTTAATATTTTATTTCCTTAAAATTCAAATCGAATCACCCAAATTAAGTAGCCATAAACGAAGTCAGCTTCCAAATTTGAATATTTCATTCGTATTCGTGATATGATTTGTGTGCTGCGTTTGTTTGTGTGTGTGACTAGTGATGTGCTCGTGTCGATAGAATTGATTTGAATTATCGATAAATCAAAATAGCTAACTAAATACGGATTATTTATTGACAAATGCTGTCCCTACCAATTAATAATAATATTGCGATTACATTATGTATGTTTTATAAACAAACTAAAGTTATTATATAATTGTTCGTAATGTAGTATATTGATAAAACAATTAAACCTACTTTATTATCGTAGACTTCAATAATATTTGCCAAGAACAAACAGTAGCCAGATATCGATCACCAAAACCCCATCCCTACAGCTTTTGTCGAAGTGCGCCGCGTTGATAAGAAAACATTTTAAATTAGTAGGTAAAGAAGAGAAAAAATTTAATATTTATATATTTTTTTTCTTATATTTGATCACAAAACGGGTAGCCGCTACCAGTACCGATATAAATTATATCATTTTTCATAGCGACAACCCGAACGGACGTAAAAAATGACGCTCCATTCAAGTTCGTTTTGAAAGTTTTGCCGCGTTTTTTATTCGTTTCCGGACGCTTGGATTCCATTATTCGGATTCGATGTTCAAAACACGTTTTTATCGATCCTCTTTAAA